TGGGACTATATTGATTATTTTGTTTTACTTAGAGTAAAACAAGATGCTGTACTTCCTCCTAGAACGGGCTGGTTTCTATTTCTTGCCACTGTTTCAGCAGGTCTTAATCACTTCCTTTGTTTCACTAGATAGTTCTAATCTTGAACTAATTGCAGTTCTGAGAGAATTTATAATCTCCTTTGTGACTTTTGTCTAGGTTTTGTCAATTACTTCCTCCTTTGACTTTTCCAGAAAATGGTTGGAAATGTCTTACTTAAGTGCCTGTTTTTATCTTCCTTTTTTTTTTTTTTTTGATCTACTGTCATTCTAGAGGGATTGAGAAGAAATAAAAGGGCCATTCTTAATTAATATGCACTATGAATGTCTTAAGTGAGTAAGAATTTAGAATACAGTATTTGAATGAGCCGGGCAACCGTGGCTCATACCTGTAATCTAGATCTGAGTATCCTGATTTGAAGCTAGTGTTTCAAAGCCAGCCCCGGCAGAAAAGTTCCTTTGAGACTCTTAAATCATCTCCAGTTAACAACTCAAAACCAAGAAGTAGTGCTGGGGCTCAAAGTGGTAGAGTGCTAGCCTTGACAAAAGAGCTCAGGGACAGCCCAGGCCCTGAGTTCAAGCCCCATAACCAGAAGAAATAAAAGAATTCAGCCTGGAATGAAACTTTTTTTTTTTTTTTGGGGGGGGGGCAGGGTGTTGGTCTTGAGAGATTTGAACTCAGTGCCTGAGCACTATCCCTGAACTTTTGGCTCAAGGCCTCCACTTCTGCTTTTTTGGGTGGTTATTTGGAGATGAGAATCTCATGGACTTTTCTACCCAGGCTGGCTTTGAACCACAATCCTTGTATCTGAATCTCTTGAAGGATTAAAGGTATGAGGATTAAAAGTATGAGGCACTGTAGCCTAGCTGGAATGCAGCTTTTAAAGAACTTTTGATATTTTAAAGATAGTATTGTCATTCTCCTTATATTCTAAGTTGTTGGAATCCAAGCATATATATGGAGATAGATAGATAGATAGCTATTTAATCCAAGCATGCATACACACACACACACACACACACACACATACACACACACACACACGCGCGCGCGCGCGCGCGCGCGCGCACACACACACACACACACACACACACACACACGTACACTTTATGACCTTAAGCATGCTATATAGTATTTCTTTTTTTTAATCCTTTGTGGTGCTGAGGATAATTCAAGTCCTCACACATGCTGAGCCAGCACTCTATTATTATATGCCTAGCCCTCAATCTTATAAATTTTACATATGGTAGAGCAATATCAACAAGCTATACATACTTCACAACTGACTGTACACACTTGTGTAAAATAATACCCATACATGCAGTACACTCCAGTTTGTTTAACTAGTTGTGATCCATTAGTAGGATCTTAAAGTATAAGTCACATACAGCTTCAAGTTGTATCTTTTCCCTAATTATGGGTGGAACAGATATTAAAAACTTAAGCATATAGGAGCCCTAACAGGGACTTGGGAGTTTTAAAAGATGTGTTTATAATCCTTCAAAGATGAAGTCCCTCATTTCCCCAGAGTTGTCTAGCTTCTCCTCTATTTGACACTATGTAGGGATTTATTTTTTTATGGTGGCACAGCCTCTTTAGTGAGATCAAATTGTAGGCATAATAAAATGGTAAGTAGCTAAATATATTTAAAAACATCTTCCAGCCAAGTTTAAATTAATTATGTATTTTATAAAAGCTAAGAACATCTGTTTTTCTTTTGAGATGATTCCTTGATTATACCTTTCATGCAGCTTCCTCATTGGGATTTTGTAGAAGAGTGCTTTTAATAAGTCATCAGCTCTAATGTTGTTATTGAAGAAATGAGTTGATATTGCAGGTCATTATGGAATATTCTTAAGGTTGTGATCAGGTTTCCCAAAGCAACATAAAAATAAGAAATTTAAAATTGTTGAATGCGATACATTCATAGTAGTGATTTCAATTGATCTTTTGGTAATTAGTGAGATCAAAATATACTCTCAAGTTTATGTGTAGGAGTAAGGTTTTTTTCCCTTGAGTTAAATGAAATTCACTGTCTCTTAAATATTTATTCATTTCACACGTACATTAGTCACTTAAATATTTTAGACAAAATTAATGTCCATTAAAAATAGGGGCTGGGAAGGTGGCTCAGTGGTAGAGTGCTTGCCTTGCATGCATGAGTCCCTGGGTTCAATTCCTCAGCTTCCAGAAGTGGTGCTGTGGCTCAAGTGGTAGAGCGCTAGCCTTGAGCTGAAGAGCTGAGGGAGCGCCTAGGCCCAGAGTTCAGGCCCTATGACCAACTGGAAAAAAAAAAAAAATAGATGCCCATCAGTTAAGTAAACCTGCAACTTATGATTGGGTTATATCCCAGCAAACTCATCTTAAGTAAAAAATACCAGTAAATAAAAAATACATTTAATATATCTAATCTAATGCAAACATAATTGGTTAACAACACAAACACTATAGGGAATTGGTCATTCACCCTTGTAATCACATAACTGACTAGGAATTTTGACTTTCTGCTACTGTTGCCCAGCCTTGTGAGAGAGTTTGTGCCATGAACTTCTAGGCCAAGAAAAGATCAACATTCAAAATAGTTTCTCCTGAATGCATACTATTCTCTCACTGCTTTAGTATTGTATGCAGTACTCAGGGAATATTGTTAAACACTTACTCTGTCAACATCCACAACTCAAGTTGCTGTACAATATATGGAATTTTTCCTGTGAACTTGTATATCTCCAAAGATGTTTTTATTTTCAAACTTTTAAATAAAATTCTAGTGGCTGAGACAGTTAATATTGCAGAGAGACTTTCAAGTGAAAAAGCTGTGAGCATATGAATAAAAACATTGAGGATGTCAAGTAGAATATCCATGTAGTGAAAATAGTCACTTAAAAAATATGTGGTTTTAGTGCAAGACACTGGCCAGGCAGGAACTTTTTTGAATATATCAGTCTTCATTGCATTCATTCTTAGAATGGAAAAGCTGATGAAAAAAGTGATAAGTACTCCTTATACTTCAAAACCAGATTTTTTTAGGTGTTCTTTTTCTCTCAAGTGGTTACTCATGTATATAAAATATAACCAAAGTGGATAGACTGTTACTGTTTTATTAACGCTGGTCCAGGACTTTTCTGCCCAGGCTGGCTTTGTACTGTAATCTTCAGCCTTCTGAGTAGCTAGGATTATGGGTATGAGCGTTGGTACCTAGTTTAGACTGATACTTTCTCCAACCACTTAAGAATATTTTCTGCCTTTTCTCTTTTTGGGGGGAGGAGGGGGGAGTCCAGTCCCTCAGCTCTTCAGCTCAAGGCTAGCTCTCTATCACTTGAGCCACAGCACCACTTCCGGCTTTTTTCTTTTTGCTTATGTGGTGCTGAGGAATCAAACCCAGGGCCTCAGGCATACAAGGCAAGCGTTCTACCACTGAGCTACCTTCCCAGCCCATGCCTTTTCTCTTATGAGAAAATAAACACCTATAAGCACAAAATATTCCATATTTTTAAGGACAAAATCTTTTTTTCCTTCTAGGATAACTACTATACAAATGTTTTTGACCTTTATAAAAATGTTCCATGTCTTAAATCTATAAGTAGGCCAGTCAGTAAGTAGAAAATGATGTAGCTTCCTCTCTTCTCACTCATTTAACCTTTTGCAATCTGGCCCACAATTCACATCTGCTACACCTGAGCTCCTAAGAAACTTAGTACAAAGAATGTTCTTAGATGAAGCAGTCACATATCTTGCAATAGCTGTATATGTATATGTGTATATACACATACATATACACACATTCATACACAGTAGATGGCAATTTTAATAACATCTTTTATGCTTTATATCTTCTTTTTTTTTTGCTGGTCGAGGGGCTTGAGCTTTGGGCCTGGGCGCTGTCTTTCAGCTCTTCAGCTCTTCAGCTCAAGGCACAACTTCTGGTTTTCTAGTGGTTTATTGGAGATAAGAGTCGCAGGGACTTTTCTGCCCAGGCTGGCTTTGAACCATGATCCTCAGATCTCAGCCTCCTGTATAGCTAGGATTACAGGCTTGAGCCCCTAGCCCCTGGCCCCTGGCTATGTTTTTCTTTCTTACTTGAAAGTAGGAAATCATCTCTCACACAATAAATACTACAATAGAGATGTGTACTTAAAAATCCCTTAAGGCAAAAATGGATTAGCCACTAGTATTATCTTTAGTGTCCTAGGAAAACTGAAAGGGACTTGTACTAAAACAAAACAAAACAAACCCCAAATAAAGCTCCCAGGAATGTGGGAAGATGGGCATTCTAGGCCGAGGAAGCACCATGCAGTGTTCAGGGTACCACAGGGAGGGTGTAGTTCCCCAGAGTGCTAAGAGGCAAGCCACAAAGTGTGTTAGTAGACTTCTACACTTGTATACAGAAGGGCTTGCGATTCATCCTCTTTAATTATTGAGGATAATCTACAAATACATGTTAAGTATGATCATACTGATTTAAACTTTAACAGGATTTTAGCTTTTTAAGTAATGTGGAAGACAAGTCAGTAGTGGTAGTGGTTATGAGATCTAGGAGGAACAATGAGGATGTCATTGCTCTAGTTGTTGAACAGTGTTACCCCCTCCCCTCATCTTCTCCCACTTTCCCCTTCCTGAATCCCCTCTTCTCCAAGTTGTAAAGTTCATTTCCAACATAGTATCTTGCCATATTTTTTAAAGCATTCTTTTCCCCTTTTTGTGCCAGTCCTAGTCTAGTTTCAGCAAGGGGCTGAAACCATGGTGGAAATGTCAAGGGAGGAACGAGAAATCAGTGATAAAAAAATTATGTGAGCAATGAGAAGAATCCAATAAAAAAATTCTTAGATGACAGAATTTGATGGGTGAATTTATCATAGGTGATTGAGAGATTTATGTATGTGAGTGTCTTTTGCGAAATCAACAGATGTATAAAGGTAAACTTTGTATTGGCTATTTATAAGTTTTTCACTGTTTTTATTTACAGATGCTACTTCAAATGAACAACAAGAGCTTTTTTGTCAGAAGTTGCAGCAGTGTTGTATACTGTTTGATTTCATGGACTCTGTTTCAGACTTGAAGAGCAAAGAAATTAAAAGAGCAACACTGAATGAACTGGTTGAGTATGTTTCAACTAATCGTGGTGTAATTGTTGAATCAGCGTATTCTGATATAGTAAAAATGGTAAGCCTCTGGACACGTAGTTCTCAGATTTTATAAATTTAAAGTAAGATCTGAGTTGTAATTGTGAGTTGACACTGATCTAAAATAAATGTACAGTAATTAACATATTCAAAAAAGAGTCCTCCATTTCACTGATGCTGTTGTTTCTTATAGGACATTCAGTAGCCACAGTGGTAGGTGGCTACCAAATTTTTTAATTTGCTAACGTTTTTTTAAAAATTGATTTAATTGTATTATAAAGGTTATGTACAGAGGGGTTACAGTTACATAAGTAATGAGGTATTGGTTGTTGAACAGTGTTACTCCCTCCCCTCATTTTCTCCTACTTTCCCTTTCCTGACTCCCCTCTTCTCCAAGTTGTAAAGTTCATTTCCAACATAGTGTCTTGCCATATTTCCTTTTTTTTTTTCGGTCCGGTCGTGGGGCCTGAACTCTGGGCCTGGGCACTGTCCCTCAGCTCTTCAGCATAAGGCTAGCACTCTACCACTTGAGCCACAGCACCACTTCCAGCTTTTTCCTTTTTTGCTTATGTGCTGCTGAGGAATCGAACCCAGGGCCTCAGGCGTGCAAGGCAAGCACTCTACCACTGAGCTACCTTCCCAGCCCTTGCCATATTTTTTAAAGCAATTTTTTTCCCTTTTTGTGCCAGTCCTAGGACTTGAACTTAGGGCCTGGATGCTGTCCCCGAGCTTTATTTAAAGCTCAAGGTTAGCGCTCTACCACTTGAGCCACTCCTCCACTTCCATGACCACCATATGAGATAGTGCATATCTTAAACTTAGATGTTGAGAAATATATAGGCTCAATATTATTCAGATTGACAGATGTAAGGGTGAATAGTCACTAAGAGAAAATGTGTAAAGGAGGAAGAGAAGACTAGTGAAAAGCTAGGAAATCGGGTTTGAAAGGAATCCTATACTTTGAAACTTGTTACATACAGATAGATAACTTTGTTGGTGCCTATAAAGTTAACTTTTATTGATAACAATTATGAGATATTTTTCCCTTTTCAAATTCTACTTACAGCCTTCTGCTTCTCTTTGAGAAGTTGATGTCCAAACCACTGATCAATTTTACCCTTAACACTGGCTTTGAGTTCTAACTAATGAAGTTCTAAGTTTATTGCTTCATATGAGTTATGACTATGGTAATAATATTAGCAATTATTTGCCTACCCCAGGTGCCATTTCATAAAATATTTGGAAACTTGTTTGTACTATCAAACATTGCTCTCTGTTCTTCAAATAGTTTGCCTCAAATCTCTCAGATGAAAGTATTTGGTATGTCAGTCTGTTCATTTTTAAAGGAATTGTGGGTTGGGCCATAGTACTCCTAGCTACTAATGATAAGGAGGCTGCAATCTCAGTATTAGTATTCAGAGCCAGCGTGGCAGGAAAATAGTAGACTCTAATCTTAAGTTGGTGTTTATCTCTAATTACCTACCAAAAAAACAAAAGTTGAGCATGGCTCAAGTAGTACAGTGCTAGCTTTGAGCTAAAAAGCTCAGAGACAGTGCCCAGGCCCTGAAGTTCCAGGAAGAGAGTTCCAGGGAGAGAGAGAGAGAGAGAGACACACACACACACACACACACACACACACACACACAGAATTGTGGACTGGGAGTATATCTATTTTTGTTAGAAAGGATGTATGGTTACCTTAGTGCTGAGGCAAAGGAAGCAAAGGATGACATTATAAATACTGTTTCATTGAATCTAAGATGAAGAATCTCAAAGCAGTTCCTGATTTCAGAGAAATTGGGAAATGCCTTTGCAGAATCTCAGAGTAGGTAAAATGTATGTAGTAGACAAAATCATGAAGTGTTTAAACTGTAATAGTAGTGTAGGCATTTTACACCTCCTCCTCTTCCTCAGTGCAACTATGCATGTACAATAGGGATATTTACTTTTTTTTTTTTTATCTTTAGTCAGTCATGAGTCTTGAACTCTGGGCCTGAGTGCTGTCCCTGAGCTCTTCAGCTCAAGGCAAGCACTCTACTACTTGAGCCACAGTGCCACTTCCGGTTTTCTGGTGGTTAACTGGAGATGAGTCTCATGGACTTTTCTGCCTGGGCTGGCTTTGAACTGTGATCCTCAGATGTCAGCCTCCTGAGTAGCTAGGATTACAGGTGCGAGCCACTGGTGCCGGGCTGATAATTACTTTTTTTGTTTATAGGTATAGAACATGAGAGGTGTGGAAAGATACAAAGAATCGTGTTAGAAACAGGAAACATTAGAAATTTTGCCCTTTTTCTTCCCAGATTCTTCTCTTCTTTTCCCCTCCCCTCATTTGTTAAGAAAAACTGATAAATTAAGGAAGAAGAATCTAAATGTGAGCTGTAATCTTCAGAAGTTTGAGGGCTAAGGAAGTGAGAATTACTGGATAGAGAAGACAGAGACAAATGCCTGCCACTATACCTTAATGAAATTTATAAGTTTTTGAGCTAAATTTATAGCCACAACTTAACTTTTTTCTTAAGTAACATGATCTTAAGGACATTTTATTTCCCACTATTAAATTCAGTTATACAACAGAGAACATGAATCTAAATTTACTTTTCTTTACAGATCAGTGCTAACATCTTCCGTACTCTTCCTCCAAGTGATAACCCAGATTTTGACCCAGAAGAGGATGAACCCACGCTTGAGGCCTCATGGCCTCACATACAAGTATGGAACCTAAGCATGTTCACATTGCAGTATTGTGTTGATTGAGTTTCTATGTCTTTGCCTTTTAATGTGTTTTCTTAATGTTTTATTTTCCCTAAATTGTGATTTTTATTGTTTTATTATGACAAAATACATTTATTGGCTATTTAAACCATTTTAAAGTATATAATTCAGTGACATTAAGTACATTCACATTCATGTAACTATAACCCCTCTGTACAGCAACTTTACAATAAAAAATATAAAAAAAGAAAGTACATTCACGATGCTGTGCAGCCATTATCACTGTTTGGTTCTAGAACTTTTTATCACCCCATATGAAAACACCTTTGTAACTAGCACTCACTTTAACACTCCTCATTGCTCCTTCTTCTAGGCCTGTGACAAGCACTAATTTACCTTCTGTCTCTGGAGATCTACTTTCCTATTTTAGATAAATTACAATTTATGATCTTTCATGTTCCTTTACTTGTATTCAGAGTTGATCCATGTTGTAGCTTGAGTCAGTAACTCCTTTTATTTTTATGAGTGTGCGGGGCACTGGTGGCTCACGCCTGTAATCCTAGCTACTCAGGAGGCTGAGATCTGAGGATCGCGGTTCAAAGCCAGCCCGGGCAGGAGAGACCATGAGACTCCTATCTCCAATAAACCACCAGAAAACCGGAAGTGGCGCTGTAGCTCAAGTGGTAGAGTGCTCGCCTTGAGCTGAAGAGCTGAGGGACAGCACCCAGGCCCAGAGGTCAAGCCCCACGACAGACAAAAAAAAAAAAAAAAACTTTTATGAGTGAATACTATTACATTTTGTGGATACTCTACAGTTTTTATTCATTTGTTATTCAGCATTGACTTATTTCTACCTTTTGGCTATTGTGACCTAGGATTGTTATAAACATTCAAGTATAAGTTTTCTTTGAATATTCATTTCCCATAAATTTTGATATGTTGTCTTTGCTTCTCTAAAAATATTTTCTAATGTCCATTAGTTATTTAGGCATATGTTATCTAATTCTACCTATTTATGACTTTCATAAATTTTCTTAGATTACTGGTTCCCGATTTTATTTCATTTTTGGATAATAATATTTTGTGCGATTTTTTTTTTTAATTTTGTGGCCTAATATACTCTCTTCTGGAGAATGTTGCCTATGTGCTTGAAAAGAATGTGTTCTATCCTTGAGTGGGGCATTCTGTAACAATAGGCTAGGCATAGTTGGTTTATAGTGTTCAAGTGTTCTGCTACCTTGTTCATCTCGATCTGTCCTGCTCAAAGTGAGATACTGACGTCTCCAGCTATTATTGTTGAATTGTCTATTTCTTTTTGCTTTTCTATATTTTTTTTCTTCTTTGCTTTTCAGACTGTCTTGCTAGTGGACTTTGCCTTTGTGTGGGATATTGTCATATATGTCTTGGTACATTATATGCCCACCAACTGTCTTTGCAATTGTTTTATGTGATTGCCTTGTAAAGGAGGAAATAAGAGAGTTACAAATAACTGTGCATGGGTATCCTACACTCACTGCTGAGGCTTGAACTCAGGGTCTCATACAAACATGCTAGGCAGGCACTTTGCCACTGAGCCACATCCCCAGCAATAACAGTATTCATACCATCTTTTATCTTCATCTATATAGTCACATTCACATGGAATCTTCATTTCTCTCTATGGATTCGAGATACTCAGTGGTATCATTTATTTCAGCTTGAAAGAATTCCTTTAGTTTTTCTTGTAGGGCAGAACTGCTAGTGTTAACTTCTCTGTGTTTATCTAGGAATGTCTTAAATTTCTCCTTTTTTTATTTTTGGCCTTGAACTGAGGGCTTGGGTACTTTGCCTGAGCACTCAAGGCTAGCATTCTACCACTTGAGCCACAGTTCTACATCTAGCTTTTTGGTAGTTTATTGGAGGTAAGAGTCTCATGGGCTTTCTTGCCTGGGCTGACTTCAAACTGTGATCCTGAGATCTCAGCCTTCTAGGATAGCTAAGATTACAGGCACTGATGCCCAGCTTTCTTTATCTCTCTCTCTCTCTCTTTTTTTTTTTTTTTGGGTTGTGGGGCTTGAACTCTGGGCCTGGGTGCTATCCCTGCGCTCTTCAGCTCAAGGCAAGCTCTCTACCACTTGAACCACAGCACCACTTCCAGTTTTCAGATAGTTTATTGGAGATAAGAGTCTCAGGGACTTTCTTTCCTGGGTTGGCTTTGAACCATGATCCTCAGATCTCAGCCTTCTAAGTAGCTAGCATTGTAGGTGTGAGCCACCAGGGCTACCATGTGAACCCGGTTTCTCCTTCTTTTTTAAAGGAAAACATTTTGGAGCTGTCATCCCACTTGTCTTCTTGCCTCCATGTTTTCTGATGACCAGCAATTCACTGTCTTAAGGATTTCATAATGCATGTAGAGTCGTTTTTCTCCTCCTACTTGTTTTCTCTGTCATCAATTTGATTATGATACATCTAGTTGTGGATCCCTTTGACTTTACTTTGTTGAGTTTTGATTGGTTAATTGTGTAAGTTAATAGTTTTTATCAACTAAGTTGTTGAGGCCATTATTTAAAAATTCTCTCTGTCTTATTTCTCTCTTTTCTGGCTCTCTTATGTGGCTACAACTGATATTCTCCTACAGGTCTCTGGATGATTTCTGTTCATTTCCATTGTTCTCGTTTCTTTCTCCACCTCAAGCTGGATCATCTTGCATGACCTATCTTTACATCTACTTAATCTTTATTTTGCGAGATCAGAATTGGGCTTTTTTTTTTTTTCTCTCTTGTTGGTTGTGGGGCTTGAACTCAGGGCCAGTGCACTGTCTCTGAACTTTTTGCTTAAGGTGGTTAGTTGGAGGTAAGAGTCTCACAGACTTTCCTGCCCAAGCTGACATTGAACCACTTTGAGCCACAGCTCTACTTCTGGTTTTCTGGTGGTTAATTGGAGATAAGAGTCTCATGGACTTTCCTACCTTGGCTAGCTTTTGAACTGTGATCCTCAGATCTCAGCTACAGAGTAGCTACGATTACAGATATGAGCCACCAGCAGCTGGCTTCTTTTGTTTTTATAGGAGAGTAAGTTCACTGAAGTGCCTACTCTGCCACTCCATCTCTGGAACACATCTTCTTGCTTGTTGGGTTTTAATTTTGCAAAAATTAAAATCAAGAGAGAAATCTGCATTCTATACAACTTAGGATACTTTAGGCAATAGTCTGCCACATTGTTTTTTAATTTATTCTGTCTAGCACCTACAGATCCATATAAAATGGAAGAGCAGTGTTGGATTAGTGAATGCTGAAAATAATTTTAAGACTTACCAGCACATTAGAGTTTACAGAATTAGAAAATCTGAAATAGCAAATTATTTTTTATATAACTGTACACAGGTTTAGCTGACATTTTGTGCTATGGTTCATAAAAAAAATTAGAGATACTATATTTAACCATGTAAAGGTTTTCAAAGAACGAAATTCTCATTAGCTGATGTGACTTTTTAATCATATGTCATTGAATACAGTGAAGGAGACTCCATAGTTTTACTATTTTTGAAAATATATTTTTTCATTAGGATATTTTCATATGTTCATGGAAATTCAGCCAAATAAACAATATGCTTTCCATTTTTCAGTGGTATAATTTGAAGTTGTATTTTAAATTCCCTGAAACAAAGTGATTCTCCATGTTTTAGGAGGTGACAGATTGTTTCAAATGTGATTATTTAAACCAAGTGAAAAATTTATGAAACCCTGTGTGAAAACTAGCTAAAGCTAAAAGGGGAGATATGGGCTAGCACAAGTGGCAAAGCACCTGCTTAGCGAGCTGAAGCCCTGAGTTCAAACCCCAGTACTGCCAAAAAAATTTGTCCATGATCCCTTCATTAAAAGGCATCTGCCCTCAATATATATTCAAATCTTCCAACTTACTACAATTTGGCATGCAGTTTTTTAAAGTTGACAAATATTTAATGATACCAGAAACTATTAAACACTTAAGTAAGCGAGATGATTTATAGGTTTGTTAATACATTATAGCTACATACTTAACCATTTTAAGTTTTTTGTAGTGTAATATTAAAGATGTCCTAATTATTGAGATTTCAGAAATTAGCACACTGGAAAAGAAATTTATCCATAAAAGTTTCCTCCCCTGTTATAAATGTGCTTGGAGTTAATTCACCTGGATATTTTTGTTTTGCACTAGCAGCTTACATTTTATACTTTGCTTATCAGATCCTAATGCTAGGAATATGAATTTAATCGTTGTTTTATTTTTTTGAGCCTTTTCATGAATTTTCTAAAAAATGATAATTTGTAATTTATCCCTCTTTAACTTCTTTTCATGTTGTAATGGAAATAATCATGAGTACTGGACTAAAGAGATAGAGGAGAAAGGAACAGAAGGGATATGTTTTCGAGCAGTGTACCATTGGATCATGCCTATAATCCCAGCTACTCAGAAAGCTAAGATCTGAGTATCATGGTTCAATGTCAGCTTGGGCAGGAAAATCTGTGAGACTCTTACCTTTAACTAACCACCAGAAAACTAGAAGTGATACAGTGGCTCAAAGTGGTAGAGCACTAGCCTTAAGTAAAGGTCCTGAGTCAAACTCCATGACCTACCAAAAAAAGAAAGTAGGGGAGTAGGGGTGGGAGGGAAGAAGAGAAGGAGGAAAGGGGGGAAGGAAGGGAAAGGAAGGGAGGAAGAGAGGAAGAGAGGGGAAGGAGAAAGGAAAGTAGGTAAGTAGTTTTCAGTACCAAGGTACTGATGATGTCTTTTAATTTCCATGTACTAGTACATATCTATTATTATTGCATAGGAGTTTAAAATTATTTTTTTCTTTCCTAAGTGCTTTTCTTTCTACATGCTGAAGACAATATAATAACAATTTTCTGAATACCAAGTTTTAGCTAATGGAAAGGTACTAGCATGGAATAGATTCCAGACTGTGTAATAATTTTTTTTTATTAATTATTTTAGTGTCACAGACAATTCAATTTATATATAAGGAAACTCCATAGTGAAATCAATATGCATGGGCTGGGAAGGTGGCTCAGTGGTAGAGCGCTTGCCTTGCATGCATGCGGACCTGGGTTCGATTCCTCAGCACCATATAAGCAGAAAAAGCCAGAAGGGGTACTGTGGCTCAAGTGGTAGAGTGCTAGCCTTGAGCTGAAGAGCTGAGGGACTGCGCCTAAGCCGAGTTCAAGCCCCACGACATACAAAAAAAAAATGCAATCAATATGCACTAAAAAAATACTGGCAGGAAAGTAAAATAGACACAGCTGCAAGGGGTAGATGCCAGTGGGAGGAGAGGGCTAATGAAGAGGGCAAAGGAGGATAATGTGGTCATGGTAGCTTATTTGCATGTATGACAATAGAACAGTTCAACTTGTTGAAGTCATTTTAAGGAGGAGGAGTGGGAAGGGGAGAATGATAAAGGAGGCGAGGTTTCTCAGGATGCATTGTATACATGTGTGAATACGTCCCAGGGAAATTCCTCTTGTACATCTAGTGCATGCTAATAAAAAATAATGATGTAGAGCAAGATACAGTGGCTGATGCCTGTGGTTCGCTACTTGGGAAGCTGAGGCTGGAGCATTGCTTAAGCCATGAGTTCAAAACTAGAGCAGGAAGTGTAATAAGATGCCTCCTCCCATCTCCAAACAACAAAAAAATAAATTATGTATGGTACTAAATCGTAGACCTTTTTAGAAATAGCTATTTTAGGGAATTGAAAGATCTCAGGGTATGGTGGCTTGCTCCTACAACCCTGAGCTGTTGGAAGGAAGATCTTGGGAGGATCACAGTTTGAGACCTACCTGGGGTTTGTGAGCTGTGCCCCCCTCCCCCTCAGATGTACAGACATCTGAGCATGATGGTTCATGCCTGGGACTCCAGCTACATGGAAGAGTTTAGATAGAAGGATCACAGTCTGAGGCTGGCCTAGGCAAAAATGTAATATTCAACCTGGGAAATAACTAAAGCAAAAAAAGAGGCTGGGGATATAACTCTAATGGTAAAACATCTGCCTAGCAAGCACAAGGCCTTAAATTTAAACTCCCAAACAGGAAAAAAAAATTAGGCTAGTATCTTACATATTTTTGGCCAAATTCTGTATTTTAACTACTTGAATTATGCTAAGAATAAAAACTGATAGGGATCATAGCCTAATTCAGGACATAATTATACAGAAAAAAAACATTTTTATCCATATATAAAACTTAGAAATAGTTTCATTGCTTTGATATTTTGAGTAGTTTTTAATTATTCTTTCAGTTCTTTTTATGTGTGTAGTTAGCTTTGTTACCTGAGACAGAGTCTCTCACTGTATTACCCAGTCTGGTCTTGAAGGCCAGGTATATAGCTCACACCTGTAAGCCCAACCTTTTTTTTTTGGGGGGGGGGGGTCCGGTCGTGGGGCCTGAATTCTGGGCCTGGGCGCTGTCCCTGAGCTCTTCAGCTCAAGGCTAGTGCTCTACCACTTGAGCCACAGCGCCACTTCCGGCTTTTTTCTTTTTTTGCTTATGTCATGCTGAGGAATCGAACCCAGGGCCTCGGGCATGCAAGGCATGCGCTCTACCGCTGAGCCACCTTCCCAGCCCCAAGCCCAACCTCTTGAGAGATGGAAATCAGGTATATCCTGGTTCAAGGCCAGTCCAGGGAGGGAGGGGGAGAGGGTAGGGGCAGAAGGGAGGGAAGAGAAAAGAGAGGGGCAAGAGAGGAGAGGAGGTGGGGGAGAGGGAGAAGAACCTATGTTTCAAATAACTAAAGCAAAAGGAGTTGTAGGCCAGATGGTAGAGTGCTTGTCTAGCAAGCACAAAGCTCAGAATTCAAACCCCAGTACTGAAAAAAAGAAAAAGGAAAGGAAAACATACTGCATAAGTGGTCCTGTCAACAAAATTACATTAACAGTCTACTTGAGACTGCACTCTGCATCATGCCTTGTTTATTTTTGCAGTTTGTATCCCAAAGCAAAATTGCTAGTTGCTAGTCTATAAAAATTATCCATAAATAAAAACTTTCTAACTCTTGTCACATCCTTAATGTACAATAAATAAGGTTAGGTAATCTTATATGCATTGCTACCTTTCTCTAGTTGAGCAAAGATACATTAAACAAACCCAGTTTGAGTCAGGCATGGTAGTGCATACCTGTAATGTCAACACACCAGAGACGGAGACAGGAGGATCACAAACTCATACCAGGTTGGGCTATCTAGTAAGATCCTGTTAGCCAGACACCAGTGGCTCACATCTGTATTTGAGCTACTCAAGAGGCTGAGCTCTAATGGATTCTGGATCAAAGCCAGGCAAATCTGAGAGACTCTTCTCTCCAGTTAACTAGCAAAAAGTCACAAGTAGAGCTGTGGCTCAAAAGAGTACACCAGTCTTGAGTGAAAAGCTATGAGAACACCTTAACTCTAACTCTTTACTGCATCAGAAATGAAAAGCATAACCAACAACTGTATTTATTCACATCACATTCAACTCAAGTAGAAAAATGTGTTTTCTGTAGTGAATAATAGGACTCAGGTCTATATTGCTTTTGGGTGGGTTTTACTTAGTGCATGAGCACTCTATTTCTTGTACTGGGGTTTCATGCTTACTAGACAGGTGCTCTACCACTTAAGTCACAGTCCCCTGCCCCAAATGTTACTTTGGGGTATTTTTTATTGTTATTAAGGAGTTACAATTTCATAAGTCAGGTTATGAGTACAATGCTTCTTCAGCAATGGCACTCCCTTTGCTTTCCCCCAATTTCCCCCTCCATTCCATACCCAATGTTGTTTGTTTGTTTATTATTTTATTTGTCAGTCATGGGGCTTGAACTCTGGGCCTGGGTGCTGTCCCTAAGCTCTTCAGCTCAAGGTGAGTACTCTAGCACTTGAGCCACAGTACCACTTCTGGTTTTCTGGTGGTTAATTGGAGATAAGAGTCTCACAAACTTGGGCTGGGAAGGTGGCTCAGTGGTAGAGCGCTTGCCTTGCATGCATGAGGCCCTGGGTTCAATTCCTCAGCACCACATAAGCAGAAAAAAGAAGCCGGAAGTGGCACTGTGGCTCAAGTGGTAGAGTGCTAGCCTTGAGCTGAAGAGCTGAGGGACAGCGCCCAGGCCCAGAGTTCAGGCCCCACAACCGGACCCAAAAAAAACCCCCAAAAACAAGAGTCTCACAAACTTTCCTATCCAGGATGGTTTTGGACCATGATCCTCAGATCTCAGCCTCCTGAGTAGCCTGTAAGCCACCAGTGCCTGGCCCCAATGATACTTTTAACTCTGGTTTGTAGTAACAGGTATTCACTTTGGTGGCACTCATGAAACAGAAGGTCTTCTCACACTTGGTTTATGTGCTGTAGTGCAGACATTCTTTCTTTAGCCCTGTACTTAAACAGAGTTTGGTTGTTTCCTACACAGAGAGAGGGCAGGCTCCTTCAATTTAATTTTTTCACACTACAGTCTTTTTTTCGAAACTTGTTTTTTGTTATTGGTTTTTTTTTTTTAACACTGCCCCCTCTCTCTTTTTTTGGGTCTGGTCATGGGGCCTGAACTCTGGGCCTGGGCACTGTCTCTCAGCTCTTCAGCTCAAGGCTAGCGCTCTACCACTTGAGCTACAGCACCACTTCCGGCTTTTTTCTTTTTGCTTATGTGGTGCTGAGGAATCGAACCCAGGGCCTCATGCATGCAAGGCAAGCGCTCTACCGCTGAGCCACCTTCCCAGCCCCAAAACTGCCCCTTCTTATCTGAAGGTTCCTGACTCTGTTTATGGAACCCTAGAGATGAAATTGAGGTAAGTTAGAAGCCCACCTGGGGACAAACATGTTGCTGTGAGGATCAAAAGCAGTCACCATCTTAAATTACATACTCTGTTGGCAATGTCACTGTTTCTAGCTTTTATGTAATTTAACATCTTTCAACAATACTGTAAAGCAATAAATTTCAAAATTTACTGGCTTAAAGACTAAACTGTATATAGTGTTGGAAACTATTATAAACAAACTCATATTTTACACTGAAATCAGAAGTCGTCTAAGTTGCTGAAGGAAATGTGTTTGTTTTTTTTATAGCAACTATAACTTAGGGAAGAGTTTTAAAGGCAGTATCACAGCTTTTTTTATTTGACTTTCTCTCATAGTTGGTGTATGAATTCTTCTTGAGATTTTTGGAGAGCCCTGATTTCCAGCCTAGCATTGCAAAACGATACATTGATCAGAAATTTGTACAGCAGGTAAGGAACTCTTGTTTTTCTTATATTCATCTTAATAATCTATTAACTTGTGATTAAAGTAGACCTGACTTCCAGATTTTAAACATTATTTTGAAAGCACATAATATCCTTGCCAAGTAGGGAAAAAAGTGAACTAAGTTTGAAAATTTGTGAGTAGTCAATCAAGTCATCCTAGCCAATCCTAAATTGTTTTATGTTTTTTTGTTTTTTTTGGTGGTCCGGTCGTGGGGCCTAAACTCTGGGCCTGGGCACTGTCCCTCAGCTCTTCAGCTCAAGGCTAGCACTCTGCCATTTGAGCCACAGCGCCACTTCTGGCTTTTTTCTTTTTGCTTATGTGGTGCTGAGGAATCGAACCCAGGGCCTCAGGCATGCAAGGCATGCGCTCTACCACTGAGCCACCTTCCCAGCCCCATAAGACAATGTTTTGTTTTGTGGTTTTTTTTTTTTTTTTTGGGGTGGGGGGTGTCCGGATAGTGCCCAGAAGCTGAGTTCAAGCCCCAGAATTGGTACCAAAAATGGAAAGAAAGAAAAAGAAGGATGGAAGGAAGGAAGGGACTTCCCTGTTTTATTGATGAAGACATACATATAAGCTCAGAGGTTATGATCTACCCTTAAAAGCAGTTTGATATTAGTATCATAGCCAGAATAAGAAATAGGTTTCTTGACAACTAGCATTGTGTGTTTCATCAAAATGCCTAGATTACTCATTTAATTATAGTGTCTAAAAATAGTTCCCCATAAACTTGTAGCCAGGTGCTGGTAGCTCATGCCTATAATCCAAACTGCTCAGGAGGCTGAGATCTGAGGATCTTCATTCGAAGCCAGACTGGGCAGGAAAATCCATGAGACCCTTATCTCCAATTAATCACCAAAAAAAGTAAAACTGGAGCTATGGTGGTAGAATGCTAGCCTTGACCAAATTGAGCAAAATAGCTCAGGAACACTACTCTGGCCCTGAGTTAAAGCTCCAGGACTGGAAGGGGGGGGAGGGGAGATGTATTAAATGTTTATCTGTAAATTAAACATGACTTTAACAACTAAACATGACTTTAAAAAGGGTCCCTTTTTATTAGTGTGGAAGTATCTTTTAAGTAAACCCAGAATCAGAACATGAATTTGAGTGTAAAGTGAGTTTCTAGTAATTTGAGCAAAATGTATCATGTCTATTATGGTAAATTTTTATGTTGTAGACATATTTTTTGCCAGAGCCCTAATGTCTTGACCTGTAGCCAGTTACAAGCATGTCACTTGGGTTGGGGATGTGTAAATATGATTTTAAGTTGTCACTACCCTTGTTGCATCTATTTGGGTTTGAGATAGATGTGTAATAAGAACTGATGAGGTTTGAGGCTTGCCCCTCGTCTAATTATCATTACCAAAGTTGAGAATGTAAAATTCCATGACAATTTTTATTTATTTTGTCAGTCATAGGACTTGAACTCTGGTCCTGGGCACTGTTCCTCAGCAATTCAGCTCAAGGCGAGCACTCTGCCACTTAAGCCACAGCGCCACTCCCGTTTTTCTGAGTGGTTTATTGGAGATAAGAGTCTCACGGCCTTTCCTGCCAGGGCTGGCTTTGAATGTGATTCTCAGATCTCAGCCTCCTGAGTAGCTAGGATTATAGGCGTGAGCCATCAGTGCCTGGCAACAATTTTTATTACCTACATATATTTATACAGCTACATTAAAAAAAAACTTTATTATTGGATGACACAATCTAAAAGCTTAAGATTTTAAATCTCAGCATTCTAGAGACTAAGAGGATGGAGAGTTTGAGGTCAGTTTGGGCAACAGCCCCATTAATACTTAATACTTTATTAATACTGAATTAATAATAAATCTATGATAAGTCAAATCATCCTAGTTTTTTTGAAGTATTTATATCTTTGTGTTGTGTGTCCCTACCCACACAGTACTCCGGCCTGGCACTTGCTAGGCAGGTGTTTTAGAAGTCCATTTTTCTCCAAGTCCTTTTTGTTTTTTGATTTTTTTTTTTTTTTTTTTGAGTAGAGTTTCATGTATTTGCCCCAGCTGGTCTGGATTGTAATATTCCCATTTATGCTTCCCATGTGGCTTAAGATGACAAGCATGTACTACCACACACAGCTGTTTATTGGTTGAGATGGTGTCTTGAACTCTTTGCCTGGGCTGAACCTTGAACTGCTGCTACTGCTATCCTCCTGATTTCTGCCTCCAAGGTAGCTGGGATTATCGGTGTGAGCCACCACACCTGGTTTTAATTTGTCATTAAAAAAATATAAAATTGATAAAATGCTCCCTAAACTTTACCCCATTTATTTACATGAATAACTTAAATCTGATAAGGTAGAATTTTTTTTTTTGGTCCGGTCGTGGGGCCTGAACTCTGGGCCTGGGCGCTGTCCCTCAGCTCTTCAGCTCAAGGCTAGCGCTCTACCACTTGAGCCACAGTGCCACTTCCAGCTTTTTCTGCTTATGTGGTGCTGAGGAATCGAATCCAGGGCCTCAGGCATGCAAGGCAAGCACTCTACCACTGAGCCACCTTCCCAGCCCTAAGGTAGAATTTTTTAAAGAACATTGTAGAAGATTTCATGGATAATCTTGAAATCAGTAATAGAAAAAAAGTCATTTTAGCTCGATTATTTTTTAGAAGTAATTTCTCAGATTTTTCTTAAAGCTCCTGGAGCTTTTTGATAGTGAAGATCCCAGAGAACGTGACTTCCTGAAGACTGTACTGCATCGAATTTATGGGAAATTTCTTGGATTAAGAGCATTCATCAGAAAACAAATTAACAACATTTTCCTCAGGTAAATTATATATTTATATATTGCAACCCCTACACACACACACACACACACACACACACACACACACACACACACACACTCACAAACACACTTATCTGAATCTGCAAATTAAACTGAATTTTTTAACTAAAAAAATTTACCTATAGTACAAATATCCTTTGTTGCATCTTAGCTTTTATAAACTGGTAACTTGCAGTTTTACTAATGGATAGTAACAATGAGGACCATTTTTGATAGGTAATACCAATTAAGGTTTATTGAGAGAACAACTTATTTAGAGAAATGGTTTTCTGTTTCTTTGGGCTTTTTGTTTAAAAGATTTTCTTGTATAAGTATTGCTTAAACCCAACAGCTTGTAGAAATACTTTCTTTGGATTTTATTTTGGTTGGTTGTAGAGCTTGAACTCTGGGCCTGGGTGCTGTCCCTGAGCTCTTCAGCTCAAAGGGAGCGCTCTGCCACTTGATCCACAGCACCACTTCCAGTTTTCTGGTAGTTAATTGGAGATTAGACACTCATGGACTTTCCTTGCCCAGGCTGGCTTTGAACTGTTATCCTCAGATCTCAGCCTCCTTAATAGCTAGGATTACAGGAGTGAGCCACCAGTGCCTGGCTCTTTGGATTTTTTTTGACCATTAAGTTCATATCATTTACTACTTCATGCATGTTAATCTGTTAAAATATTTGCCTCACATAATGCAGTTTCACATTTACACTCACATTTCAGGTTAATTGAAGACCTAGGAAATTAGGCTAGTGCGCCCATGTTACAACACTGAGATGAGTGCTGGCTAGCTTCTCCAGGAAGAATCTTCCTCCAGGCTTCCATCACCTCCTAAGTTCACTTCGGCCATGTGTGACAGCTGTTTTGTCTTGCTTTATCATTTGGGTTTGAGGTTCATGCTTTAAAGGAGATCTTAATCTTGGAAAGTGAGGCAGCAAATGTCATGTGAGGTCTAGAGAAATTTCTAAACAACTGAATTTTCTCTTGTATTTTCCTATGAATACAGGTTTCTTTGAGCAAATCTTTCTTTTACATATACATTACTAAGGAAAAATGCAGTATACCAGGTGAAATGACATGCTGTCATCTTACAAAAGCAAGTTCTAGCAAAGGTATACATGACTTAATAGTAAATAGCTGTTTTTAGATCACTATGAATTAAGTGATTTTGAGCAAAATAGCTTACAAAGAAAATCAGCCTAAAGCCTGTGTTTCTTAATGTTGCCCTTGGGATTGATTTGCCTTGCCTGTTTGATGACGTTTTCTGACATTTGATTTTTATTCCACCTCTCTATTTTAAACTCAGGTTTATATATGAAACAGAACATTTCAATGGTGTTGCTGAACTTCTTGAAATACTAGGAAGGTAGGTCAGGTTGAATTTTTTTTTTTAAGAATTAAGTAACTGAACATTTGTACAAACATTTTAGTTAGAGTTAAAGAAATAATTTCCCATTTTAGAGCTTAAATGTAGAGCACAACACAGGGCCTCAGGTTCAATCCCCAGCATCACAGAAAGACAGAACTAAGACTTAGCTTTTAGATTATGAAGTTTTTAAATTATGAGTTTAAACGGGTCAGCATATTACAGCATTCCTTTACAAGATCTGTCAGAGCAGCCTTCCTGCTATGAAGCTCTGGTATGTTTTACGCTTGATCTTGCTATATTGCATATGAATTTTCAGGTTGTGGTTGGGAAGAGAGAAACTATGAGTGTTTGATTGTTACATTAATACTTGTATAGATACAGATTCCTGACCCACCAGTGTTTTTATGTTTTTGTTTTTTTTTAAGAATCTCTTGTCCTTTTGTTTTTTGTCGGTTGTGGGGCTTGAACTCTGGGCTTGGGTGCTATCCTTGCACTCTTCAGCTCAAGGCGAGAGCGCTACCGCTTGAGCCACAGCACCACTTCTGGTTTTCTGGTGGTTAATTGGAGACAAGAGTCTCACGGACTTTTCTGCGTGGGCTGGCTTTGAACCGTGATCCTCAGATCTCAGCCTCCCCAGTAGCTAGGATTACAGGCGTGAGCCACCGGTGCCCGGCCCATCCTTTTGTTTGTAAAAACATTTTGCCTTTCTTATTCACTACATAACACTTTTAGCTTGAGTAAATGGAAACTTCGACTGCTGTTTTAAAAAAATTCAGTCTCCTTTAAATAGTTAGAAAATTACTACAGAGAAAACTACTTCTTAATTTCAGATTATACAACAAAGGAAAAAACTACCCATTTATATTTGGGACACTGAAAATTCTAACATACTCTGGCATTGACTCTCCTTGCCTTTAAGGAGGAAAAATAGTCCACACAAAGTGAAGCAGACATTGCACTGAGGCAGTGGTTGGCAGCCCTCAGTGGTTGGCAGCCCTGATTTTCTCTGGGGATCATTGAGTGACTTAGAGGAGCAGAATTCATAGGATCAATCTTTCTAAAGGAATCTGAAGGTGAACTGTCACATACCAGTCTACTCACAGACATGACACCTTGTAGAAACAAAGTCATAACTACTTAACCTTCCCCTACCTTTCTTTCCCTCCAGTATTATCAATGGCTTTGCATTGCCACTGAAAGCAGAACATAAACAATTTCTAATGAAGGTTCTTATTCCTATGCATACTGCAAAAGGATTAGCTTTGTTTCATGCTCAGGTAAGTTTTCAAAAACATTTCAAATAACATACATACTATTTCTACAACCGATTTTTAGAGTATTTAAAATATTATTTACTAACTACTTTCTCAAGAAAAAGTGCCACCATTTCTAGACAATGTATATGCTAATTGAGAGCTAGCTTTTTTTAACAATTAGTTTTGAAACTTAATGTTTTAGCAACAATGTACTGCAAATACTGCTGTTCCAGAGTTTTCCATGTAAAACCATGAGAATCAGTGAAAGTGGAGAGAATCATGGCAATTGTTTTGTACAAAGCAAAATTTCATTACAATTATTAGGTAAAGTGTTACATAAATCTCTAAGTATTGTAAAGTGTTGTGGTATTTAGTCATATAAGAACACTGTAAGGTCAGAAAAGTTAATATAAAGCCGGGTACTGGTGGCTCACACCTGTAATCCTAGCTACTCAATAAGTTTGATGATCAGAGTTCGAAGCTAGCCAACACAGGAAAGTCTGTGAGACTCTTAACTCGAATTCTGCATTAAAAAGCCGGAATTGGAATTGGAAATGTGGCTGAAGTGATAAAAGTGCTAACCTTGAGCAAAAAAGGTCAGGGACTGGAGGCATCTAAGCCTTGAGTTCAAGCTCTAAGACTGGCCACGCACACACACACACTAAAATAAAGTTAACACAGAAAAAATAAGCTTGCTTATAATCTGGCCCAAGCCCTGATGTAATTAGCTATCTGACTTTGAATAAATTACACACCTATAGAACGTTACTTCTAACCAATATAGCTTAGGTAGAAAAGATTTTGGTCTCTTAGTATTTAGAAGATAACACATCAGCATAGCATACCTGTAGAAACCGCTACTGAGAACTAAATCATTAACTTGAGATGGTTAACTTTACAGTGAGAAATTACTACTAAAAGTATCTTTTTTGAACTAGAAGTAACTAGTAGGATTAAAAAGTTGGATGCACTCACATAATTGTATATTCATCTTTTATAACTCAAAGTAAACTAGGGTTTTGTTAGCTAAATATTAAAAAATGCATCCCAAAAGTTACTTTCCTCATCAATATTTGTAAACTTTACCTTACCTTTCAGCTAGCATACTGTGTTGTACAGTTCCTGGAGAAAGATACAACACTGACAGAACCAGTAAGTGTTCTATTAATGCTCTGTATATATATTTATTTGGTTGGAAGTAATAACATTTCATTATAGCATTCTGTTGGCTTTTACCAGAGTATAATAATACTATATCTTTTCTTTTTTTGGAGGGGAGGGGCTAAAAGGGGTGCTGGTAATAGGATTATAAGCATGAGCCACCAGTGCCTAGCAACTCTACTTCTTTTGTCCACAAAAATGAAGGTTGTAATCCTAGCTACTCAGGAGGCTGAAATCTGAGGATTGTGGTCCAAAGCCAGCCCAGGCAGGAAAGTTCATGAAACTCTTATCTCCAATAAACTATTCAGAAAAAGCTGGAAGTGGAGCTGTGGCTCAAATGATAGAGCACTAGCCTTGGACAAAAGAAGCTCAGGGACAGAGCCCAGGGACAGAGTTCAAGCCCCAGGACTGACCAAAAATAATAGTAATAATAAAATGAAGGTTCAGGAGAGTAAAAAGATGACTAGTTATCATGAAAACGGACTGAACTTTCAAGAAATGAGGAAATGGGGTTAAATAAGAACAAAAAAATAAAAAACTGAACCTTGGTAAGGGTTTTTTGTTTTGTTTGTTTTTGCCAGTCCTGGGGCTTGAACTCAGGGCTTGGGCACTGTCTCCGAGCTTTGTTTTTATTTTTATTTTATTTATTTATTTTTTTGGGGGGGGTCCGGTCGTGGGGCCTGAACTCTGGGCCTGGGCACTGTCCCTCAGCTCTTCAGCTCAAGGCTAGCACTCTACCACTTGAGCCACAGTGCCACGTCCAGCTTTTTTCTTTTTGCTTATGTGGTGCTGAGGAATCGAACCCAGGGCCTCAGGCATGCAAGGCAAGCGCTCTACCACTGAGCCATCTTCCCAGCCCTCCGAGCTTTGTTTTTAAAGCCCGAGGCTAGCTTATAGTTTTTTTTTTTGTTTTTTGTTTTTTTTAATTTTGGGGGATTGGGAGATAAAAGTCTCATGGGCTTTCCTGCCAGAGCTGGCTTCAAAACATCATCCTCAGATCTTAGCCTTTTGAGTAATTAGGTTTATAGGCGTGATCCACTAGCATCCAACTCAGTAGTATTTGATTGAAATTATATTAAACTCATGGATTAGTCACAGGAGAAATGTCTATATAACCATTCATTATGAAAAGCATATTTTTCCATATTTCCATCTGACTGTTACTGATACTTAACAATACTATTTTTGTTCAGGTAATCAGAGGACTGCTGAAATTTTGGCCCAAAACATGCAGTCAGAAAGAGGTAGGTTTTGTTCACGAAAGAAAGTAGTGCATTTCAGTAGAACCTTTCAATCACAAGGCTGTAACCCTGCTGCTTGGGGCTGGCTGTATTGCTGTGCTATAGGTAGAAGCAAGGAGATCTGGCACACTATGAAACTGCCACCCATAGCTTTTTTCCTTGGTTCATACTTTTGTGTGTTCCAGTGCCTAGGGCCTGGGCACTGCCCCTGAGATTTTGTGCTCAAGGCTAGTGCTCTATCACTTGAGCCATACAGCTTTACTTACAGCTTTTTAGAGGCTAACCAGAGATAAGCAAGCGGTTCATAGACTTTCCTGCCAGGGTTGGCTTTGAACCTGAGTCTCAGATCTCAGCCTCCTGAGAAGCTATAATTACCAGTGGAAGCCACTGGTACCTGGCTTCTCAATTTATATTTTGTAGATAAACCTCAGTTATATAGTTTATAAATTAGTATCATAATTTGTCACATTGTTTTTTAAATTTTTTTAACTTAGGTGATGTTTTTAGGAGAAATTGAAGAAATCTTAGATGTTATTGAACCAACACAGTTCAAAAAAATTGAAGAGCCACTTTTTAAGCAGATCTCCAAGTGTGTCTCCAGTTCTCATTTTCAGGTATGTTTTCAAGGACATCTTCCTCATTTTATACCATCATTTCTTTCTCTTTGAATTTTGACCTTTCTGTCTTTTAGGTTGCAGAAAGAGCCTTGTACTTTTGGAATAATGAATATATTCTTAGTTTGATTGAAGAGAACATTGATAAAATTCTGCCAATTATGTTTGCCAGTTTGTACAAAATTTCCAAAGAACACTGGAATCCGTAAGTTTTTGTTTTTGTTTTTGTTTTTTTGTCAGTTGTGGGGCTTGAACTCTGGGCCTGGGTGCTATCCCTGCACACTTCAGCTCAAGGTGAGCGCTCTACCTCCTGAGTAGCTAGGATTACAGGCATTAGTCACTGGTGCCCAGTTCCGTATGTTTGTTGGTCACATTTTTCTTGTCTTGTCTAACCTTTTTGGCATTTGATTTTCTCATATATAACAACATACAGATTTGGAACTTATATCAAAAGTTAACATCATCAGTTATATTCTATACACAGAATGTATACATACACATTTTTAATAAAGTTAGAAATGTACGTATGTCTGTGTATTTCAGTATATGGCTTAAGTTTCAACTGAAAATAGCACATCTTCCAACATTCTGTACCAGCTGTGGCCAAAGCCTATTGAAAAAACCAGCTGGTCATCTGTGGAGAATACACAAACTACTGTAATGCAGACTTGTGCTGACAGATCTGTTCCCAGTCTAGTCTATAGGCAACAGTTCCAGGAGAGGCTATAGGACTTAAGGGCACAGGATATGTGAAACACATGGTCTACCTGCAGTCACATCCTTATCTTGATCCTGCTTTCTGCTTTCCTTCTTTCAAACTATACTAGTTGGATCTTTTTCACCTTTTTTTTTTTTTTTGGGTCCGGTAATGGGCATGAACTCTGGGCCTGGGCGCTGTCCCTCAGCTCTTCAGCTCAAGGCTAGCGCTCTACCACTTGAGCCACAGCACCACTTCTGGCTTTTTTCTTTTTGCTTATGTGGTGCTGAGGAATCGAACCCAGGGCCTTGGGTTGACCTTGCCTCCTCTGCTCCCTGAGGTGGTGTTGTTATGTAAGGGTTCTACTCATGACAGTGTCTTGGTTCCTGGGTCCTCTCTGGTCTGTGATCTGCAGGATGAAGATACTTGCTCCTTGTCAGTTCTTGCTGGTGTTGGGTAGAATCCGATCATTCGCTGTGTCTGGCACATTTGTCCAGGACTCTCTGTGTTGTAGGTATGCCAGCAATGGCCACTACTACTGCCACCGCCACCACAGCCACAGCTACCAGCAAGTGCTCAGATCTGTTTCCTTGCCTAGATTTTCCCTTTCTCGCAAAACTCTCTGTACTGGGATGGCACACTTGGTGTAATTCTCCCGCCTAGGACTGTTCACTGGAACACTAAAACTGCTTTCTAGGTGATAGCTTGTTTAGCCTCGGGCATGCAAGGCAAGCACTCTACCACTGAGCCACCTTCCCAGCCCTCTTTTTCACCTTTTAAAATTACCTACGATTTCATATACGAGATTGTAACAGACATGAAGATCCAGAACGTTTTTAGCTCAGCTTTAAGTATGATAATGTCAGACAGCATTTAGCCCATTTTAGAACAGGGTTACGAATGATTCCTCTGTTGGTATCAGTGACCCAGGACTGGCTTGTTTTCATTTCAGAACCATTGTAGCACTGGTGTATAACGTGTTGAAAACGCTAATGGAGATGAATGGCAAGCTGTTTGATGACCTTACTAGTTCATACAAAGCTGAAAGACAGAGGTATTTGATATTCTAAGTTATATATAAAATCAACATATTAAGTTAAACATGTTTGTTTTAAAAAAAGGTATGGTCTCTTAGTAATGTTTATAAGTCAATACACATCAGGCATCACACTTTGATAGCCTCTAAACATTAGTCATATCTAAATAAAGTTGCCCCAATAATTTTATACATTTGTTAAGCAGTAAAAAACAGGTTCTTGCATAATTAATTCCCCTAGTATTAGATTATAATTTTAATGTGGATAATAAATCCTGTTCATCTCATTCTGAGCCTAGATTTCATCAGTCTCATAGCATGTGCACTATGAAACACAATTCATGCTAAATTTTAAATATTAACTTGTACAATTTGATTTTTTACATTTATGAAAACTACTTTCATACACAGACTTCTAGAGAGTTTTACTGTTCACTGGCTCCTAAGTGCTTGACAGTTCCATTGCTGTGATTGTAAAGTAGTGTTTTAAGGTCAGCATACTTCTCTTATGGGGTGAGGGAGACTGGGCGAGCATGCTAGCGGCATGTTGTTTCTTGTATGATGTATATTGTAGATGACAAATGGATTGGCAAATTATTTTGTTGAGAATTTCATAAATTACTATTTTTTAATTGCTGCCTTAAGGTGAGCAGTAACCACTATGCCTGAGTCTACCCATCATTTGAGAATAGGAGCTATCATTTTCTTATATTACTGTCTAGTTTATGAAAGTTGGTATTATTTTTACTTCAAATTCCTAATCATGATTTTCTTATGTTGAGAAAGGAGATGGCCCTTCTTCAAAGCCATGCTAGACCATCAATAAGTAATTCAATGCATTTCTCTTTAAGTAGTCAAGTTCAGGCAGGAATAGAAATTAAGGACATGATGTGAGCTCTGGGAGCAATGAGAAAATAGATGTCTAAATTCCTAAGAAATATGTACACACACACACTGTTGTGGTACAGATTTTGAACTCAGGTTCTTGTACTTGCTAGGCAAGCAGCTCTTGTCACTTGAACAATTCCTGTGTCCCTTTTGGGGATAGGGTCTGCTAACTACTTTCCTAGGCTGGCCTTGAATCACAGCTCTCCCAATCTTTGCCTGTCAAGTGGCTAGGATCACAGCATGAGCCACCATGGCTTGGTGAAACTTATACCTTTAAAATATTTATTTTACATGACTAAGAATGTTATTACTGTATAAATCAGCAAGTCTTTCAATCTTTAAAAGATTTGTTCTTAAAATGTAGCCACAAAAATAGAAGCCTGTCTTAAGTGGTTAGAAAGTCTTTTTTTAATAATAATCTAGTTCAAATTATTTAGAAATGTTTCCCTTAGAAATGAAGTTGCAACTGTTAAAGCAACCAATAGGCATTTTGACTTTCAGTGCGTTTGAGATAATATTGAAATTTTCATTTGACATATTAAGAGCAGAAGTTAGAAACAACCTAGTGAGATGTGGGATAAAGACTGCATCTGCAGGTGAGTGCCATAGTCTACCTGTCTGTGGCAGTGATCCAGACAACCACAGCTCCTGCACGAATTTAACATGGAAAGAGTAATGTATGAGCATTCTGCCATGCTGTATTCAAAGGAAAGCCAGCACTCACATAGTACTGCACTCAGAGTAGAGCAGAGATGCACATAGTTATACTTGAGTGACAGGAACTAATAAGATGCTCTAGGCATCTGGACAGCAGCACTTTAGAGACAGATAAATGAAATGTGAGTGGGGTATTCTCCAGTAAACTGCCAAGTAGTGTCTTACATCAGCTTCTGAAGTAAGTTCTAATTACAACAATCTTGGTTTATCTACAGAGAAAAAAAGAAGGAACTGGAACGTGAAGAATTATGGAAAAAATTAGAAGAGCTAAAGCTAAAGAAGGCTTTAGAAAAACAGAACAGTGCTTACAACATGCATAGTATTCTCAGCAATACGAATGCCAACTAACAGCCTACCGCCTCTATTGGGTAGGCACAGTTTTGTACTTTTTTGAAACATGTAAAAATTGCAAAGCAAACTTCATCAGTATAACTAAAAGGCCAACTCGTTTTTTTCTGGCAACTGTAAGTGATGGACTAAACAGCCCCATGCTATATCATGGCCACAGTATATTGTAACCTCTGTCTAATCATTGATTTATTGTGTCACTTCTGAAGTTTCACAGAAATGAATATTATCATCTATGATATGAGTGAGATAATTATGGGAGTGGTAAGAATTATGACTTGAATTTTTTTGATTGTGTTGCACATAGATCAGTAGTCTGCTTTGTATATTTTTCCCTTTTATAATGTGCTTTTCACATTGCTGCAAACCTTAGTTATATCCTAGGAAAATATTTCCAAAAAGAAAACTAAGGTGCCATCCTTTCCCTGCCCTTTGTCTCCCCAGGAACATGATGATGAGTTAGTTCCCTGCCTAAGCCCACCTTCACTAAAGATCTTAATTGTACTCTGGAATTTGAGCTTACTCTTAAATCTCTAGGCTTTTAAAGCACAAACTATAAATAAAATGGGAAAGTAAACCAAAATTCTTCAGGCTGTCCCTCATGAATATCCCCATCAGCAGCAACGCCCTAGAGTGCACACAGGTAACTAGTGGCTACACAGGTAACTAGTGGCTACCCAGGTAATGCTGGACTTGCCTCTCAATTCATTCCTCCTCTTCCTCCCCGAGGCTGGAGGCAGGGCCTTTCCAGTCCTCCCAATCTGCCTTCCCCCAGGCCTCTTGACCCAGGGTGGAGGTTTTGAGTCCCACAATGTGGTGATGCCGAATGCTAATTGTCACTGCCAGCTTTATTTAAAGGACATGCAGTAGCCTTCCCCTGTAGAGTTCTGAAAAAGTTGACTACATAGAGGCCTTGTATGTTTTTACCTAGTCAAGTATTTCTCACATCTTTTGTTATCAGAGTACCATTCCAATCTCTTACCATGCAGTTGTGTGGAAACTGTTTTATAATGAAAGATCTTCACTGGGGGATTGAGCAGCATTTAATAAAGTCTATGTTTGTATTTTGCCTTATGTCATTTTTGCTTTTTTTCAACTCTTAAGCTTAAGCACACAGAAACCTGCTCCCCTTTAGCATATGTACCTAACCACATTTATAGAAAATGAAGACATATTGTGGGATACATTATAATTAAAAGAGCAGGGAGACTGTAGCAGACATGGCATAATGTTCTGACTGGAGATGTTTGGTTAAAACTAGCGTAGGTTCTGCATAGTACTCATGGGGTCACTCTGCTCTTCTCTATGGCTCTCAACCATTCAGTACTGTGGCTTAGATTTTACCATATTTTCAAGCAGCAGGCCCAACAGAGCCAACCTGTCACTGCTCTGAGACTAGAGATTTCTTCCAAGACCCAATACTAATCCCAGACCAGCCAGCATCCCAGACCAGCCAGCACTGCTGATGTCTGTGGCCAGCACAGTTATAAGGATGATCCTACCACACAGTAGACTCTGAAGGCAAAGTCTTAAATCAATTTGTAGAAATCGAAGGTTTGGGGATATTTATTTTACTGAGCAGCCAGAGTGAATTTTGTTAATTTGCAGCTATGAGTAAACTTATTTTTCTTTGAATAAACAGTATTACTCAACTTTCTATTTAGTAGGTTTCTCAACTTTCTACCATACAGGAAATATTGTTTTGGTATGTTCACTGAAGCGAACCCTTAGATATTTTAGTGATTTTTTTTTTCTTTTTTTTTTTTTTGGCAGCAAGGGGATCAAACCGAGACTCATGCATGCTAAGCACATACTTTATCACTGAGCTACATTCCTAGTCCATAGAAATACTTTTTTAAAAAATCATACACTTGTTTTTGAAATATTCTTGACGTAAATTTTTTAGGCATGGCTTTCAATTTGAGATTTTATAGAGCAACCTAAGCTAAAGTTGGAATTCCCATATTTTTTTTGGCAGTCATAGAGTCTGAACTCTAGGCCTAGGCACTGTCCCTCAGCTCTTCAGCTCAAGGCTAGCACTCTACCACTTGAGCCACAGTGCTACTTCCAGCTTTTTTTCTGCTTATGTGGTGCTGAGGAATTGAACCCAGAGCCTCATGCATGCAAGGCAGGCATTCTACCACTGAGCCACCTTCCCAGCCTGGAATTCCTGTATTTTTTAGGAACAGAAAGGTAGCTGGGAACATATCTTTCTACAAGTTCACTGTTAATAACTCAACAATTTCTTGCTAAGTTCAATGGAAGATTTAAAAAAAATGTCTTAAATATATGAGTTGCTCTCCCTGGATAATCATGAAACCAAGAAACACTAGTATGTCCTTTTTGGTTGCAACAAGCATGTGAATAATTTAAAACTGGAAGTAATTTTTATTACCAACCCTCAGCCAATGTAAAAAATACCTAGGTATAACGTCTGTCAAAAGCTAGACAAGCAGCTTTCTAGGACATTGTTTTGACCAAATTATTCACTAGGTATGGTATGTTGCTCATCCTGGTGTGAGTTGCCATGCCCAACTTACCTTCCCTAGAAGCAAGGATGACACATGTCAGGAATCACGCACCACCTTTTGTTTGTGGAGATCATGACATAATCATGATGCCTGTTGGCTTAGCAGATATTCATATTGGCACATACATTCCTTTTCTATCAATTCAACTTTTATTTACCTGTTAATGAAATCAAAATAAACCGAGTAGGCACTTACTATGTACATCTGTATTAGTGGTTTGGGGTGTTAATCACTAAACTCACATATACCTGAACAGAGATTCTAGCCAGAGAACTAGGTGGCTAGTTAGGCCATAAGAAATGTAATCACTAGTTTTAAATAGTTGTTAATGTCTCATTTACTATTTAACAAATGAGAGAGTTTGTCAGACCCTGGTTAGCACTGGGAGATAGTGCCAAAGTTTTGCCTTTCTTCGTTGCATACAGTGCAGAGGTTCTAAAATGTGACCCACACATTTTGACAGTCAAGATTTTCAGTAAAAACCACACTCCTATCTGCCCACTTTAAAAACCTTAAGGAAAAGCCTAAAGTAGAAGTGCAGTCTTAACTGTCCCCTATTGGAGCCTAACTATACAGTGAACCAAATAAGAAAGGCATATCTTCCACAAACCTTGCTCCTGCTCAAGACATCAGACAGCTCTGTATAACATTAATAATTTAAGTATTTAAATAGCATTCAGGTTATCCATTGGATATTTTCCATTAAGCTTGAAACAGCCTCTTTCTGGGCTAGAAGTTCCAATCTGACAGGCTGTTCCTCCCTGCAAGATCCCTTTCTTCAAGTGAGTACAGGATTGCTGGTGGCACCATGATTAACACAGGCATGAGGAGGACTTCTATTAACGTAGCAGTTCTGTAAGGATCAAGGTGACTTCAGCTTATGTGGTTTGCAGCTTGGCCTCTTCTTTTAAGATACCGCTTCCTAATTTTAATCATCCACTTCACACTCAATTTGGCAAACTCTGCTGCTTTAAATAATGCCAAGAAGGCTCCACAGAGAAGAGCAATTGTGTTCCAAGGATTGGCTGTGATTATCTGTGAAACAGAAGCAGCAAACAGGTTACTGGGTTGCTCTAATATTCTTTTTTAAATTTTATTTTGGTGCCAGCACTGGGGCTTGAGCTCAGGGTCTGGGCACTGTCCCTCAACTTTTGTGATTAAAGTTAGCACTTCATCACTTTTTTGCTTATTAATTAAAAGTAAGAGTCTCATGGACTTTACCACTTGGCTCCAAACCACAATACTCAGACCAGTCTCTTGAATAACTAGGATTACAGGCATAAACCAGGCATGTGGCTTAACCTTTTTTTTTTTTTGTGTGTGTCGGTTGTGGGGCTTAAACTCTGGGCCTAGGCGATGTCCCTGCGCTCTTCAGCTCAAAGCAAGCGCTCTACCGCTTGAGCCACAGTGCCACTTCCAGTTTTCTAGTTGTTTATTGCAGATAAGTGTCTCATGGACTTTCCTGCCCAGGCTGGCTTTGAACTGTGTTCCTCAGATCTCAGTCTCCTGAGTAGCTAGGATTACAGGCATGAGCCACTAGTGCCAAGCTAACCTTAATTCTTAAATCACACTATTATTACTGTCTTCCTAGATTAAGGGACTGTACAAAAAATACCTGGGTTCTAAAACTCATACTTCATTCAGACTACACATTTAATGTTCACAGCTAGTCAGAAGAAAACAGACTAACTCCTATATAATAAAGTGATTCTGAAAGGAAAATTTTTTTTCAAAAATCTCTAAAAATAAGTTTAGTGCCAGTAGCTCACAATTATAATCGTAGCTACTCAAGAGGCTGAGACCTAGAGAACCAAGGTTCCAAACTAGCCAAGGCAGAAAACTGTGAGACTCGGTCTCCAAAATAACCAGCCAAACACCAGGCTGGAGGCATCACTCAACTGGTATAGTTGACCAAGAAAGCCAAGTGAGAATAGGCCCCAAGTACAAGCCCCAGTACGTGCACACACACAAGTCCAACATTGAACTTTAATTTTTGTGACCTGATCCAACAATAAGTGGCTCTGATTTTTTTTTTTTTTTTTTGGGTCCAGTTGTGGGGCCTGAACTCTGGGCCTGGGCGCTGTCCCTCAGCTCTTCAGCTCAAGGCTAGCGCTCTACCACTTGAGCCACAGTGCCACTTCTGGCTTTTTTCTTTTTGCTTATGTGGTGCTGAGGAATCGAACCCAGGGCCTCAGGCATGCAAGGCAAGCGCTCTACCACTGAGCCAACTTCCCAGCCCCAGTGGCTCTGATTTGAAGTCAATTTTCCTAAAACTATACCTAGGCCCACAAGAAGTGTGGTTCTCTTTTCTTCATCTTATTTACCTTAGTTTATCTCCTCACAAACTCACGCTGTAGACTCCTTCATGCATCTGCCTCACACTGCCCTGCCTGGGATGCTGTCCTATGTGGACTCCTCATCCCTGAAGCTGTGCTACCCTGACCACTCAGGCAAAACCCTCTCAGGTATAGTTCAACAGCTAATGTCGGCCATTAGTCGTTTAAACCATTAGACTGTTTCTCAAAAGAGGAGCATATGTTAAGGCACAAGTTTTATGCTAGATTTCTAGATTCCCAAGATAACAATAGAAAACATCTGTAAGCCCTGTTCTAGTGGTTGACCTGAGTAGTATAAGCCTCTGTGTTCACATATGAAAAATGGCTATTACCACCCCTACCAATCAGGATTACTCAGAACACACCTAGAGGAGGGGGCTGTATCTACTTGGCCATAATAGCTAACTCAGACAAAGTATGATCCTTCCACTGCCATGTATCCCTCTGCACAGACTTACTTGATCATAACAGGGTTATGGATGTTGAATCCATCTCACAGAATCCCTGACTGGGAGCTGAAGCTTATATATTTGAGCTTTGAAATTTCTTCCTGGAAGCCACGATCACATAAAGACCTTTTGTGTTCATGTAAATGACAGTCATTAGACCTGGAACAGGCTTGGGTGGATAGTGTGCCAATGTTCCTTGGGCAAAGCTGTTCTTATTTCTCCTTCCAAGATGTCAGTCTCAGAAGGTGGCATTAATTGATGCTTTAATTATTTGTACTTTTCTGCTGCAATTTACCACCAATAGAGAACCACTGAAGAATGACTTTTAGTGGCAATTTATACAATAACTAAATGCTTTCTACTTCTATTACTAAATAACTACTCTGTGCTAAGTACTGCTAGATCCCAGATAAAGGATAAACCCAGTGATATTTCTGCCTTCCCAGAAACAATACACTAATGACAAAGATCACTCTAGTGGGGAGGAATAAACACAAATTACATGTAACATGCAATGTCATAAATATAGAATGCAAGGTGTTTTATGCTATGAGGAGAGCCAGTTAGACTTATATCCTGCAAGGATTAGCCAAAATGCATCAGAAGAGAGAATTTGCTCTCCAATTCTTAAATCATACTCACATCTTGGACTTTCTGTATGAAAGGATCTTTCCACTCGAAGACCACAAAGAACAACTGAATGCTTTTCTCAGCAGCTGGCCTCTGGTCATTGTAGTTAACCACACTGGTCTAGAGGCAGAGGAGAGAAAGTTACCACCTCTGGACCCAGAAAGAAAACAAGAAGGGATCTTAGACCTCAGCTCTTTGGATCTGGTCTTTTGGAGAAAAAGCCCAAAACTCTCATAATTTTATTTTTTATTTTTTGGTCGTGGGGCTTGAATATGGGCCTGGGCACTGTCCCTTGGCTCTTCAGCTCAAGGCTAGCGCTCTACCACTTGGCCACAAGGCCACTTCTAGTTTTCTAGTGGTTTATTCAAGATAAGAGTTTTCATGGACTTTCCTGCCTGGGCTGGCTTTGAACCACGATCCTCAGATCTCAGCTTCCTGAGTAGCTAGGATTACAGGCATGAGCCACTGGTGCCCAGCTCATACACAAAATTTTAAACAAATATGGAGCCAAGGCTTTACCATGGTTTACACAGTTCTTCGAGGAATCAGGATCGGTGGTATGCAATAGGCATTTTGGATTGTCACCAAAATCTATCATCTGGTGTCTGTACTCACAAATAAGTCACAAATAACTACCACATTAGACTCACAAATGCAAGAGGATATCCCAAATTCCAAAGTTAGGGCTGAGTGTTTCAACCTTTCAAATCTATTGGGACAAAGTATAGCCTCAAATCCACCAGCAAGAGATTTTAAGTATCTGGTGGGCCTACAGGGTGAGATCTGGCTATCAACTACAGTGTGGTATAATGGAGAGTAGAAATGTTCCAGAGGGAGCTGGACCAGATATGTAGGCACACTACCTGATCCTAGTCTCAGCTTTGCCACCTGGAAAATGGGATAAAATGTCTGCCTCACTGCAGCATGGTAAGGATTAAATGAAATAATCTATTATTAGAGATGTCAAGACTGTCAAGATGTCAAGAGCTTATGGACCCTGCCAAAAGTTTTTGAATTTAGACAATAATACAAGGCATAAAAAATTCTCAGTCATGGTCTGAGAATGTGGCTTAGCAGGGGAGTGCTTACCTAGCATGCACGAAGCCCTGGGTTTGATTCCTCAGTACCACATAGAAAAAGCCAAAAGCGGCACTGTGGCTTCAGTGGCAGAGTGCTAGCATTGAGCAAAAGAAGCTCAGGGGTAGTGCCCACGCCCTGAGTTCAAGCCCCAGGACTAGCCAAAAATAATAATAAATTCTCATTCAACCAAGCACTAGTGGCTCATGCCTATAATCCTAACTACTCTTGAGGCTGAGATCTGAGGATCATGATTCAAAGCCAGACAGGGCAGCAAAGTCTATGAGACCATTATCTCCAATTAACCACCAAAACCCCAAAGTGGAACTGTGGTAGGTAGCTGTGGAGCTCAAGTGGCAGGCTTGAGCACCAAAAGTCAAAGGCAGCTCCCAGGCCTTGAGCTCAAGCCCCAGGGCCAAAATAAAAATGAAAAATAAAATTAAAAAACACCAAAATTCTCATTCACAGGCTCACTGGGGTTTCTACCTCTAGTTTTAGAACACAGTTAGTGCCAAAAGGGGAGCTGGGGCTGTCCCTAACTGTACAGTGAATAAACCTCTCTGGGGCCAGAAGAGAACTTGAGGTAGAGTATAAAATACAAGTCCCAATGACAGGTAACTTAGCAAATAGAGTCCAGGAGTTTTCACCTAAGTGGGGGAAAATAGCTTCTTCCTTCAATGGTATACAAGCCAGGACTCAGGAGTTTCAAGACTGACCCACAACAGTCCCTAATCAGGTAAGTACATTCACTTCTAGAGAGGGCCCTTCTATTCCAATCCATACCTATCTTAAGCTGGCCCTCAGAGGTGCCCACATTGACACCTCTGAGGAGGAACAGAGGGCAAGATCCTTGTACAATATACAATCAGCCTCTTCAGGTGGACATAGGAGGGCAAAGCACCACACCTAGGTAGAAACCTTAGAGGCAAGCGGGGTCATTACTTCTGCTTTTGACAACCAACACTTGCCTCAAATCTCCTATCTCTAACCCCACCACTAGGCCTTTTGCACAGTCCTCCACAGGAGAGGAGGATCACAGGATCACAGACAGCCCCTACTATACCTGCTGGTTCTGTCAGTAACCTCCTGGCTCCAGCCCTAACATACCTCCTGATGACCCCAGCATACCTCCTGACTCTAGGCCAGTGGGATGAAAGCTTTTGGATCAACCTTTGTTAATAAAAAATACCTGAGCATATACTCAGTTTAAATTTATAATTTTACGACCGATGTCATTGCATTGTTCTAATGCAATACGTACATACACACACACACACACATTCAAGTCAACAGAATGTTAAAAGGAAAGTGGAGATGTGACTCAAGTGGTATAATGTCAGCTGAGCAAACAGGCTGAGCAAGCTGAAGGTCATGAACTCAAACCCTAGTACTGTCAGGAAAAAGAGAGAAGAACCCTAGTCTATTCCTCCGCCTGCATCCCAGTGGTCATCACACAGGATTGCAACACCAATGTCTGGTCTCCTCCCTGCAAATACATTCGCTATGCAGCCACAAGCCACATAGCACTGCTAGGTCTAGGTGATCAGGTACTTCTGGGCAAGTCACTGTGACAACTACAAATATATAACTGTGAGAACCAGCCGCCAGGAAAGACAGTGCCACCACGCACTGCCCCCAGAAGAGCACTCTGCCCTGGCATATGAAGCCAGGGATGAACCTCCAGGTTCCCATCCCTTCCTGAAGGACTATTAACCCTTGAGGACCTAATCAAGGACTTGTCACTGCAAAGTTTCCTCCACCTCACACAAACGTGAGAAAAAGTACCAGGAGTTCTAAAGCAAACCCAGGGCCACTCACCTCTTGCCGGAATTCCACTGCCGCCCGTCCATCCTCCTCCTTGGTCTCCACCAGTGACATCTTAACCCAGGTGCGGAAGCCCCCAGAGAACTTCCAGCTGGAGTAGGCACTCTCACAGGCCTGCATGAAGCCTGCCCTGTCTGGGCTTGGGGGGCCGGGAGAAGAAAGGTCCAGGTTAATCTATACCTGACAGCAGAGGCCAAATGCAACTAGATGCAAATTCCCCTGATTCAAGCTAGTTCCCCTGCTGGCACAACCAGGATGCAGTCCACTCCCTGCATCCTCTCCAAACTTAGTTGCCTCAGTGGGGCTGTTTGCCAGTCGAGGGCAAAAGCAAAGCCCCACCCCTGCACTCCTGCATTTGGCTTCCAAATGGAAAGTTGTTTCCATCCTTGAGGCAGTAGCACCTATGCAGCACCTGGTGGGAGAGCTCCTCCAAGCACTCAGGTTTGCAGAGCTCATTGAAACTGGTGCTCCTGACTCCTCAGAGAACTGGGCTTCAGTGAACCAGGGCAGCCCTTGCCATTGCCTCTCAACTCCCTCTGGAAGTCACAGAGACAGGAAAAGGGTTCCAGGAGTGATTCTCAGTGAGACAGAACAGCACTCTTCCAACCCAGTGTGGTGCAGATGTAGCAGAACCAAAATGCACTTGAGCAAGCAGGAAGAGTTGAAGTTTGGAACAGGAGCTCAGGGCTTGGTGGATGGGGTGATCTGAAGTCTGCTGTAGGAAGGCCAGCCAGATCAGGTGTGAGCCAAGCGAGAGAGGAAAGGGCAGGCAGCAGAAGGGGTGGAGATGCTAAGGCAGAGGCAGAGGCTCTGAGAACCCACAAAAGATGCTCCCTTCTAATAGGCACTCTGGGCTCCAGTGCTGGCATCACTGCATATTCCCAAAGCAGTGTCTAGGGCAGACAGGAACTTTCTGATGGCCAGGAAGAGAGATCACTACAAGTAAAGACCTAGAGCAGCTGGTAGGGCCTGCTCCATCATATCCAAGCCATTAATGCAAAAAACCTGAGCCCTCAGTAAGGGCAAGACAGGTGCATGAGGCTGGGGAGACCAGGCTCCACGGACCAGACCACGTGATCTGTTCTTAACAGTGTTACAGGCATGGAGCATTCCTCAGCAGGTGTGCTTAACTGCTATGAGTTTAATGGACCCAGCTCATGCCAGCCTTCCTCCCCTAGGCCAGTGAGCCATCTGCCACACTGCTCCCCAACCCTCAGGCCTAAGTCGCTAACAGGGAGATGAGCAAGGCTGGAAAAATGCCAAAAGACAATATAGCAGAATCACTGTGAACTCCAAAAGGCCACCTCTGCAGGAACTCCTGGAATGAGGAGAAGAGGAGGTAATCGATAGCGCTGAAGTCCTCATTGCTCTGGTTCAGGCGGAACTGGAGGAAGACTAGCTCCCGCTTCTTTACTTCCCGGGGCCCCCGGACAATCAGGGCAACTTTCTGCAGGGATACAAAGGCCAGAGTCTCAGTCCCGGAAATCTATGTGGCCCCTCAACCCTTACCTTGGGCACAGAGGCTCTTAAAGCACAAGCACAGACTACAGCCCCCAGCAGTCTCCAGTGACTTCTACCAGACACTCCTGCCCAGGGATGCAGGTGAGCTGACTCCAGTGAGCCAGTCTCAGCACAGGCTCAGAGCCAAGCTGGGTGTGTTGCAGCCTTTGGCCCCTCTGTAAATCGCTGGCCAAGCTATGGAAGCTCACCATTCTTTAGTATGGATGTGCACTTGAATACATACGAATGTTTACTTCTAGTGTATCATTTTCCCTTCCATTCTGTTTCTAATGTCATGTGTTGTTTTGTGTTTTTTTTTTTGGGGGGGGGGGTCCGGTCATGGGGCCTGAACTCTGGGCCTGGGCGCTGTCCCTCAGCTCTTCAGCTCAAGGCTAGCGCTCTACCACTTGAGCCACAGCGCCACTTCTGGCTTTTTTCTTTTTGCTTATGTGCTGCTGAGGAATCGAACCCAGGGCCTCTGGTATGCAAGGCAAGCGCTCTACCACTGAGCCACCTTCCCAGCCCCATCTAATGTCATGTTATAAGGAACCTTCAAATTAAATATAGTGGATAAAATATGTATGTCTTTTTAAGGTTTTTAGGGTTTGCTTGCTAAGGTAAGCCCATATTCTCCCCCCACCTTTTTTTTCAGCAGTACTGGGGACTAACCCCAGGGTTCCACACTTGCCTAGCAGCAAGCAATCTACCACTTGAGCCACATCTCCAGTCCTTTTGCATTGCCTTTCATAGTCTTGCACTTTTGCCTGGGAAGGTGTTGAATCTTGGTTGGTCCTCCTGAGTAATTGAGATTAAAGGCATGCATCATCCACTGTCATCTTGTTTTTGAGATGGGGCCTTGCTAATTTTGCCTGGCCTAGCCTAGAGCCAAGAACCTATCTCCAATTCCTGAGTTTGCCTGTATTTATTCACTGTACTTTTAATATCTTTTTGCACTTAGATACTTAAAAGCCCTCTCCAGCCTTCTCCTTTATCTGAAGTTAAATTCAGGCATAGAGCCACTATACAACACCTGCTCCTGATTCTAACACAGTCAAACAGGGGACTCAAGTCACTACACCACACAGCCCCACCCCTCAGCCCTGCCCTTTGCACCAAGGACAGGGGCTCATCCCACCTTCAGCAAGCCCTGACATCAGTCAGCTGAGGATAAAGCCCTCACTGACCTTACTGGATGCAGGTTGAGACAGTCATGTGGACATCTGGCCAGGGACTGAGTAGTCATGACAACAGTATGAGGAAGAGAATAGGGGCACTTGAGTTACAGAGCCAGCAGGGCACCCGGGCCCAGGGCAAGCTGAAGACAATGAGCATTACCGTGGTCTGATTGGAGAAGGGGTGTGTGTAGTTGATCCTCTGAGTGGTGCAGTTTATGTCACCGGGCTGGCCAGGGCTAGTCAGAGGGGGAATGACTTCGTAATGGTGCTTACAGCTGATCAGCTGGGCCTGACCAGGATACAGGGCAATACCTGGGACACAAACAGAAAAGCAAATGTCAGAAGTCACAGTCCTTGCCACACCTGAAACTACCACACACCTCCTGATAATCTATATTCCAGACACCTTTACTGATTGCCAAGAAGGGAGGGAAAATGACTTGGAAGGCAGTTTCAGTTTCACTGACATCAGTGGCCCCTCAGCAAGCCCCCACCTGGCCTGGAACATAGCCTCTGACACCTCCTAGAGCAATGAGCCCAAGGATGCTCCTCAGGCTCATCATCCACTGGTAGAACTGCTGGCGGGGGTTGGGAGTGGGGTTGTCTTTGAGGTATGGAATTGCCTAGAACTCATTCTGTCTCCGGTACCTATTCTGCCTGGACTCCAAGTAGATGGGTCATATCCGAGTCTTCGCCTCTGCCAGCCTAGTCACCTGGGATGAGGAAGCATTCTGACCTCATAGGCCAAAGTGCTGCAAGCAGCACTAGCATCAGACCACCAGGGTATGAGACACCCGCAGACAGAGACAGAGCAGATGTACAGAGAGGACAAATGAGAGAAAGGCCAGCAGATGAGCTGGGACCATCACACTTAGTGATGCTGGAAACTGTCAGGGAGCCTTGGGCAGAGGGAGGCCCAACTCTAACTCTAACCTATGAGCAGGCCATCCTGAGGGTAACTAGAGGAAGCCTGTAAACAGAGAAGGTGACAGTCACCACATGACAGAGAAGGTGGCAGTCACCACATGGGCAGAGCCTGGGCCATGGACAGAGCTTGAGTCATGGACCAGGGGCTCCCCATTCACCCTATCCTTCCAGAGCATGGGTGCCAGCCCCCAATTCTGGTGTACTGTCCACTCTGTCAGAGATGACTTGCCACTCAGGGGTTGGACATACAAATGGGGCAGGAAGGGACGCAAGGTGGCCTGGAGAGCTGCTACTTCCTTTGAATGGCTGTGCCACCACCATCCCAGACTATCCTTGATTCACACTTCCTCTCCTGGTCTCTGGCTGCATCCAGGCTTCTCTCTCTCCAGAAGTGTCTCCCTCACCCCAATCACTGTTCCTGCTCTTGCTGCCTACTGCTCCTGCCCCTCTCAGCACAAATACTGCCCACTTCATGCTTTTCAACGCCTACTTCCAGTGCATCTTTCTTCCTAGCCCTCCTACCCACCCCAATGCTGCCAGAATCCTCTGAACTCCCCACACCTTTCGAGGCCTGATGGTGGCCACGAGTATAGGCATGAGCCTATACCTGGACCCCACCTCACCTATAGCATCTAGCACTGTGCTGGCAGCTCTGGGAGGATATGCCAGCTGATGCCCCAGAGCTGGGCCTGACACCTGGCCCAGCAGGCTCTACCTGGAGCATCATAGCGATCCACCTCCTTGTAAGACACGGACATGACAGGGTGCTTGAGCTTTTCACGGAAGTCTGTGATGGTTTGGTAGACCAGGAAGACAGCCACAGCCATGAGCAGCAGGTAGATGAAGATGAGCAGGACAGAGAAGACGTTCTTCAGGCAGGCCTTGCTGAAGCGGATGCTGCTAGAACCAGACTCACTGTCCAGGCCTGGCAACAAGACAGTGACCTGAGGCTCAGAGGCAGGGAGTAGCCAAAGACAGTCAGTAACCTCCAGGTCCTCACCTGCCTTACCCGAACTCCCCCCCATGCACCAGGCCTTCCACTCCATCCCAATCATAGCAAAGGGAACCTGGAGACATTCACTGCACACCACTCTTCAGGCACTGGGATGAAGAGTGTCTATGGTGTTTACCCTCTACAGGGGTAGGCGATTACAATCCAACAGGTGCGCTGACCCCAGCCTGCCTTCCTCCCTTCCCCATCCCTCCAGTCCCAGTTCTACCCAAGAAGCAGAGCACCCTGTTCCTCTGTGTCCTGCCCAGCCTTGGAGCTGGATGCCTGGTCTGGACACTATCCCCACAACTGATGCTTAACAAATCCTTCAGGTTTCACTTAGAAAGACAAGCTCCCAAGGAAGCCTTTCCAATGAGAACTTTTTAGAGTACCCTTTCCTCCCGGTCCCCAGGGCACTCGATGTGTCCCCTACTTCATCCCATGGCAGTACCCTAGAGTTTTGTTTTGTTTTTGTCATCCCTCTAGACTACAAGCTCCATGAGGACAAGGGCAAGACTAGTCTCATTCATAACTGAACTTTAGGGCTTCACTGTGCTTCAACACAGCAGCATTGTATGCTTACATGGCAGCTGATTAAACACATCTAATGTCATTCTTACAACAGCTCTGCCTCCATCTTACAAACCATCCCAAGACCAGAATGCTGTTATGGTCTGAACTGTGTCCTTCCATTTCAAGCCCTATAACCCACAATGTGACTGTTATTAAGAGACCAGGCCTTGAAGAAGCTAATTAAGTGAGCTCATGAGGTGAGGCTCGGACCCAATAGGACTAGTGTCATCAAAAGAAGAGAAAGAGACATCAGGATGCATATACGCAGAGGAAAGGCCACCTGAGACAATGAGACAGTGGCCTTCCACCTAAATATTAAAATTCTAGTTGTTAATAATGATAAAAGATCTGAGCTGGTAAGTCACACCACTTAACTAGCCACGGAAAACATTCATAAACAAGTTTGTAAATGGTTGTGTTTTCGTGTGGATATATGTTTTTATTTCTCTTGAATACCATTCTAAGAGTGGAATTGATGGCTACCGTATCTGGATCCTAAGTGGGTTGAAGGCCTGCTCCCTAGCATGACTCTATTAGAAGGTGGTGGAAAGTTTAGGAGGTGGATCTAGTTGGAGAGTTTCTGGTCCCTGGAGGTATACCTATGAAAGGCTGCAGGACCCCAGGCCCTTCCTCCTCCCGTTCTTTGTTTCCTTAACATCAGATAAATAGGCTATCTCTGCCACATGCTCCTGCCTTGAGGTCTGGCCTAAGCCCAGGCCCAAAAGCAACTGGAACAACTGGTTATGGACCACGTCCTCCAGAACTATCAGCAGATTCACCTTTTCTCTGCATGAGCTGATTTTTCTCAGATGTTTCTTTGACTAACAGAGACTGCCAGGCTATTCTCCACAGCAGCTGAACTCCCAGCATTCTGAACTCCCACCAGTCCTACATAGGAGTTCTGATATCTGCATCCTCCCCAACTCATCATTGTCCACTGTTTTATTACAGCTTTCCTAGTACATGTGTACTGTTACTATCTTACTGCAGCTTACACTTCCATTTCCCTGATGACTAATTGCCTTGAGTATCTTCTAAAATGTTTACTGGTCACTTTTATATTTCCTTTAAGAGCAATGCCTATACAGATGCTTTGTCCATTTTTAATTTTTTTATTAGTGAGTTGTAAGAGCTCCTTATATTTTCTAAACATCAAATCCTTTCACAGATACATAGTTTGCAAATGTATTCTCGCTTTCTGCAAGCTGTCTTGTCATTTTGATAGTGTCCTTCAATGTACAAAGACTTTAACTTTTATAAGATCAAATTTATCTATTTTTGTTTGCTTATCTTGGTCTATTTTGACTATTATATACAGTTGTTCCCATGGAGATCTGCTGGTAAGAACTGATTAGCCAAGCTTTTTCCTCAATTTAATTAAATTTTTGATATAGTAAACCACTTATCAGTTAAGCAAGTCTGGTGTCATATCTCTCTTTGAAAAGAAGGCAAACTGATTGTGGACCCTTTTGACAGATATGAAAATAACAGACATAAGCTCTTAGCACACTGTGATATGGAATTAGTTACACCAGAAAAGTCAAGCTGGGTACAAACCCTGACTTATCTGGGTACTTAATTAACTCTCTGCTGCAGGATGCTCAGCATACTATCTCTGTCCTGACCTGCCACCTCCAGATTCTCCACTGAACTCCTTTAGCTCCCACGCCTCTTACTTCTCCTCCATCTGCCTCCACTCCCCATCCTTTCTGCTCTCCCTCCACCTGTTTCTATGATCTGCCTCTGGGCTCACTCCAATTTGCTCATTCTACCCCAGCTGCTCTCCGTTCAGTCTTGCTGCTCTCACAGTCTCTGGGTCCCTCTACCTAGGTATATCAACAGTAAAACAGATAAGCTCCACCTGCCCTACAGTCTCTTCTTAGCCCCCTTTCTGCTGGCCTAGCCTCTAAATGGAAGGTGCTTCCTTCTTCCTTCTCTCTTCTCCCATATCCACAGAAATGGAGCTGTGTCTCAAGTGGGACAATAGTAACTTTGAGTAGAAAAAGCTAAAGGACAGGGCCCAGGCCCTGAGTTCAAGCCCCAGAACTGGCATTTTACTCATTTATCAGAGTATTATGTCTTTTGCAGGGAAATGGATGGTCCGAGAACAAACCATGTTAAGTGAAGTAAGCCAGGCTCAGAGAGACAAAAAGCACATGTTTTCTCTCATATGTGAAAGTTAGATCTAAAATACAACTATGCATAACATATAAAGGGCTCAATGCATTTACACACAAACCAACTGACTAAAGGATGGTATACTTAGGGGAGGAATCCAAAGGCATAACTCTTTTGAACAACTAAAGTATACTGTTTATCAAAAAGAATAGCAGGATGTGAAAACATGTTTTAGAGGGGAGGATGGGGATGGAAGAAAGAAGGGTGCGCAAATGCAGTCATTACTTTCAATGTATACTATGTAAAAAAGAATTAAGTAATGTAGGTAAGGACAGGATGGGGAAAATAGGGGAGAACAAAGGAAGGGGTGACACTGACCAAGAAGCACTGTACTCACATAACCTGAATATGGAACTACAACCCTTTGTATAACTACTTAATAATAATATAAAAAGGGCACCCTTCAAAATGGTGACTGCTATCATCATTACCTTTTTTTTTTTTCTAATTGAAGACTCAGAGGGAAGAAATAACCAAAAAGAACTGTATCAAATTTGGCCCAAGCCACCATTGAGACCAGCCAACAAGATTTTGAGAACTGACTTTCAGGTGGCTAGAAAGGAGACAGCCTATCTAAAGGGTTGAAAGGAAACAATGACAATGGAGAGACAACAGAAGGGGAGAAAGTATTTGCAAGCCATACATACAACAAGACATTATTATCAAAAATATAGGAAGAACTCAAACATTTCAATAGCAAAAAAAAATCTGAGTATAAAATAGGCAAAAGAGTCAAACAGGTATGTCTCAAAAGGACAATCTACAAATGGCTACCAGACAAATAAAAAGGTACTCAGCATCGGCCACCAGAAAAATGCAAATCAGAACCACAATGCATGGCTCACCCCAGTTGGAATGGTTACAGTCAAAAAGACAAGAAATAAGAAATCATAGCAAGCTGTGAAGAAAGTGAAATTCATTCATAACACTGTTGGTAGGAATGTAAATTAGTACAGCCATTATACTGAGACGCAGAAGGTGGTTCCTTAAAAAACTAAAAATAGAACTACCATATGATCCAGTTAAGCCATTAATATGTATAGCCTGTCAAACAGTTATCTGCACTCTCTTGTTTATTGCAACATTCTTTACAACAGCCAAAATTTCAGTCAACCTAAATATCCGACAAGAAATAAATATTTTTAAAAGTATTTTAAAATACACATCGTATAATATTATTCAATCACACACACAAAAAAGGATGAAATCCTGTCATTTGTGACAGGGTTGGGCCAGGAAGACATTATATTAAGTAAAATAAGACAATCACCAGATGATCTTCCTTATATGTAGACTCTCAAAAACGCTGACTTTGTATAAGGTGTGGTGGCACAAACCTGTAATCATAGCTGTTTGAGAGGCAATGATATGAGGATCACAATCCAAGACCAGTCCCAGGGAAAAACATGAGACCCGATCTGAAAAATAAGCTACAGCAGAAAGGGCTGGCTCAAGTGATAAAAAGCTTGCTTAATAGGCAGAAGGCCCTGAGTTAAAATCCCAGTACTACATAAACACACACACACACACACACACACACACACACACACACACACACACACACACACACACACACACACACACACACACACACACACACACACACACACACACACACACACACACACACACACCTACCTCAGAGTAAATTCATGTTTCCCAGAGAAGGGAAGCATGAAAAGAGGTTGGTACAAAGATACAAGTAGAAGGAGGAGTAAGTTCTGCTGTTTTATTGCACAGTAGGGTGATTATAGTTAACAATAACATATTACATATTTCAAAATTGCTAGAAATGCTCTCAACATAAAAAATGGCAAATGCATGAAGTGACATGCTAACTACTATGATTTGATCATTATGCAATGCATACACATACTGTAATATTGCAGTGTACCTAATAAATTTGTACAGTGAGTATGCGTCAATTTAAAAGAAAAGCCCAGAAGTAGGTTATAAAGAGACTGGAGGCAGGGCTGGGAAGGTGGATCAGTGGTAGAGTGCTTGCTTTGCATGCATGAGGCCCTGTTCAATTCCTCAGCACCACATAAGCAGAAAAAAAAAAGCCTGAAGTGGCACTGTTATTCAAGTGGTAGAGCGCTATCCTTGAGCTGAAAAGCTGAAGGACAGCGCCCAGGCCCAGAGTTCAGGCCCCACGATCGGACCCACAAAAAAAAAAGGAGGCAGAGCATGTTTTAGTCTGTTTATACCATGATCATACCACGCTCTGCTTAACCTATCTGAGTCTGTGACTCTTACTTATGAAACGAGAACAATCATCTCACACAACTGCTACCAGAATCAAATATGGCAATGGATATGGAAAAGCCTGGCTCAGTAGAAAAGATTGCCTTTCCATCTTCCATCCCTCTCTAGTCTTCCCTGGCTTAGAAATAGGTAGAATCACAGAATTTCGTGTCTTATTTTTATTCCCATAAACACAGTAATCAAAGGAAAAAAAATCTCATCGCCTCCAATCCTCCCAAAAAACTGGATCAGGACTGAGGCTTCACCCACTCATTCACCTAATAATTCCTATTTACTGAATGGATAAAGAAGGGTGAGCAAAACAGACTAGGTCTGACCTCATGGGGCTCCACCATAGTGAAGAAACACACAGGAAGACACAGTAGCTTTCTGCCAACAACAGCTGCAAAGGAGAGTGCCTAACTACAGACAGTGTTGGAAGGTGGGAAGTCAGAGAAGGCTTTATAGAAAAAATAATCAGCTGACAGCTAAAGAATTGTTAATACAAGGTGAACGAAGAACATTCCAGGCAGAGGAATAAAACACTCAGGGCCAGTGATTCCTATCTGTAATCCTAGCTACTCAGCCACCTAGGATGCAGAGCCAGTCACCTAGGCAACTAATACATAGGATACTTAATGTCTGAGTTCACAGGAAACCTCTGGGATAGAGATGTGATTGTAAGTAATGTAAAGCTGACCTGGGCAAGAGAATAGACCTAGGTGAGATCACCCACTAAAGAGAGAAGGAACCCAGAGCAGACATTTAATATCCAAGAGGGTAATTGCAAAGGAGTCTAAAAACAGGCTTGAGAAGTGGTATTTCATGGAAGCTAAGGAAATGTGTGTGACTAGAAGTAGTCAATTGTGTCAAACATAGCCACAGGTCATAAGTGAAAGGTTGAGCCTCTATAAGATGCCACCTGACAGGCCCTTGCTCTCCCAGCTAGGCTACTGCTGGAGAGGCCTAATATCAGAAAGCTGAGGCCTATGAGATCTTCTCTCAAAGGGTTGTGGTAACTGCCTGGGTCATTGGAGGCCAACCTGCTAGTATTTTCTCAAGGAAGGAGAAAGAACAGAGACCCAAAGCATTGCCATTGTCTCCAATGACCTTACCTTAGGGACTGTGTCAAAAAGAGTAAACCTTTAGCTGAGTAGCAGTGGCTTACACCTGTAATCCTAGCTACTCAGGAGGCTGAGAGCTGAGGATCACAGTTCAAAGCCTATGAGACTCTTATTCCCTAATTACCCACAAAAAGCTAGAAGTGGAGCTGTGGCTCAAGTGGTAGAGCACTAGCCTTGAGCACAAAAGCTCAGGGACGGTGTCCAGGCCGAGTTTAAGCTCCAAAACCAGGAGAAAAAAAACAGCAAACCCCAGCCTTTCGGTCTCTGTCCTGTGACTGATTAAATATGTATAGTTTTAGAATTGGGTCAGTACTTGAAATCCCACAACAGGGTGCAAAGTGAAAGAGGCTCTTCCACTCTTACAGCCAACATTGGCCTGGTCTATCACTTCCCAGCACTCCCACTCCCCAGCTCCAAACCCACTTACCCGGTAAAGCACTTGGACCTTGGACTTTGTCTGTCTCCTGGTCTGCCTGATCTGAGTTCTCAATCACTTGTTCCAACTCCTCACTCAGCTAAAAGGAGAAGCAAAGGAGGTAGGTCAGCTGCACCAAGTTTGCTTTTCTAAGCTAAAATAAAAAAACAGAAGCTGCTACTCAACTGTCATAAAATATATACATGTGTGTATAAGTGTGTGTACATATATGTGTGTATATATATACATATACATATATATATAATAATATGACATAGTGTATGTTGGGTCAATTCTACAGATCAAGACAATGGAGCTCAGGTAGACAACAGCCAGCAGTCCTTGCAGATCCTTTTCTTACAGATAGATCTGATTTCAGATCTCAGCCTTCATCTTCACAAGGCATTCTTCCTGTGTCCGTGCCTTCACTGCATGGACATCTTCTTTATGGCCACTATTCATGCTGGATAGGGTCATACTGAAGTATGACCTTGTCTGAACTTAGTACATTTGATGTAATCCTATTTCTCAGTATGAGGGTTAAACTTCAACATGTCATTTTAGGAAACATAATCCAACCCACTACACCTCCCATAGCCACAGAGCCAGCAAAAGACAAAGCTGAGTCAACTCCAAGTTGGTCTAGCTCCAAAGCCTATGGTCTAAACCACTTCCTAAAGGAAGAGGAAATGTGGCTTAGAATCTGCTGAGAAAAGGGAAGAGTGAAGTTGACACGAGATTCTTGGGGACTCTGGTAAAGTCTACACACTTTGTTCCCACTTATTCTGCAAATGGCAGAACAAAGTGGGAAGGGTATCCAGGCAACCTCAACCTCACTACATCCATATTCTCACCTGTCAAATGGGGGAAGTTATACCACTGAGAAATGCAGAAAGAACAGAATGATAATCAACAATCTCTACAGGACTATAAAGGAGGGCAGAAGAGGTCACAGTTTGGAGGAGGAGCTATCAATGAATTGAAAGGGAAGGAAGAGAGGGAAGATTCTCAAGTGTTTATTTAGGCTTAAGTGTCATTGCTTAAGGTTTCAAAGCATTTGAACTAAAACTGACTCCCAGGAAACTCAGAGTTAAAACAAAAACAGAAGCTAGGCAATGGAGGCTGATGTCTGTAATCCTAGCTACTCAGGAGGCTGACTTGTGAAAATCAGTTCAAAGCCAGCCCTGGCAGGAAAGTCTGTAAGATCATATCTCCAATTAACCACCAAAAACCAGAAGTAGAGCTGTGGCTCAACTGGTAGAGTACTAACCTTGAGAAAAAAAAAAAAATCAGGGAGAGTGCCTAAGCACTCAATTCAAGCCCCAAGACAGAGAGGGAGATGCAGACACAGAGATAGACAGACAGACAGACAGACACAGACAGACAGACAGACAGACACACACACACACACACACACACACACACACACACAGCTCTTGTAGAGCTGTGGATATGGCTCAGCACTATCAAGCTACCAAGTGCAAGACCTTCAGTTCAAATCCCAATAAAATAATAGCAATACTAATAATACAAGACAAAACCTAGACTCTTAATTACAAAAGAGAAGAAATTCAAATGGAAGAGGACTGGGAGACTGGAAAGGCATCATGAGAGACAGACCACTGGTGGGAGCAACACAAAGAGGGCCTGCAAGGTCTTCCTGGCCAAGGAGAGAGAAGCATGTTAGTCCTGAGAAGAACAAAGTTCTTAGATCCGAGTCCCATCCAGGTTCCCCCTGACCGAGGTGGTAACCCTCTCCTAGCCAGTTCCCTTCCAGACTACCAGCAGCCTTGAGGCCATCTCCTTACCTGTCCTGGTCAAATTCTCAATACACTCAAATCTCCCCTCCTGAAGGATACCTAACACAGAGCACTAGAAATGATCCAGGCCAGAAAGATACGGGACACTCTCTGGGCAGTCTTCTTGGCACTGCAGAACAAGCTTCTGAAGAAAGCAAAAGAGGGGTCCTTCCAGTGCCTTCCACTATAAGAATGTCCCCTAGGAGCAACTGATATGGCCTGTGGCCTTTACCCTGCAATACTTTAATAAACATTTCATGAACTGTACTAGATGAAGAGATACGGCAAGCTACGTGTGAATAAGACATAGTGCCATTAAGCCAGGACCTCAAAGCTCCCTAAGAAGCAGAGTTGCAGCTATCCTGTTGTTTCCTGAATAGTCAGTCACAAGCTCACCCCAGCTCTGAACTAGCCACTTTCTGTGGATGCTGAACTCAACATCTCACACTTGGCTAGGCGAGCACTCACTCTATGACCAGACCCTCCCAGTTACTTAAGGATGAATTTCCAGTGTGACAGGAGACTAGATGAGTGAGCAGATAGCCACGATGATGAGCGAGACAAAGCTGCTGAGCTGTGCGGAGCTTGGAAAGCTCCTTGGGAAGTTTGGGCTGTTCTGGGCAGACGAGGGCTAAACATCAGGTCTGCAGAGCTGGAGAATTTTAAGATTCCCAGGATCCCAGGGAGAGGTGGAAACATAGTATCACTGTCGGGTGCGAGGAGCCGAGACGGATTGTGGGGAACTGGCCTGGTAAAGAAGACAAATTGCAGCGGGGAAGTGTGGCGGGTGCGGTGGAGGGAAATTACCGAGCAGGACGGATGTTTGGGGAAGGGGTGGTAACGGGGAAGGAAGGGGAAGAAGCGGTAGGGGAGAGGGAGAGGAGGGAGGTGCAGCTTTACTAACGAGAGGATGATGGTGGAGGGGGGGAACGGAGAGACTACCGTGAAGGGAAAGCTGGCGGCTCACGGACAAAGAGCTGAAAAGCGATCGTTCCCAGACGACCGAGGCGGTGAGAGCGGAGGGGACCGGGGCCGAGACGCTTTTCAAAGTGAAGAGGCCCCCAAGGCATGAGGGCAAAAAGAAAAAGAAAAAAACAAAGCGGCCGCGGAGCCGGCGGGCGCCGCGAGGCCCGGCCGGGCGGGCGGAGCGCGCTTCCCCGCGTTGCTAAGCGCCCGCCCGCGCCGCCCACCCCGCCGGGCGCCGTCAATCATTCACCTGCCGGCCACGGGTCGCGGCTCCGGGACCCCGGCTCCATCCCTCAGCCAACCGAGCGCACCAGGGCGCCCTCGCCGCCCCCCACCCTCCTCGCTTCTTCCCAGCCGCTCCTCGGCACCTCGAGATCTTCGACGGACGCGCTCCCCCGTCCGGGATGGCCGCCCCTCTCAGCCCGCCCACCCCGGCCCCGGGACCCCGGCCCTACACCTCACGGGACTTTTCCCACTCCCACCTACCTCCTGGTAGGATGTGGAGAGTTCCTGCCGGATCATGGCACTGAGCCGAGCTAAGGCGCACCTGAGCCCGCTACGGCCCGGGAGGCACCAAGAGCGAGCGCCGCGGCGCCTCAGCCGCCGCACGGGGATTTGCCGGCTCGGCTCGGACTGAGCTGGACAGGCTCTGAGCAGCGCCCGGGGAAGACCAGGCGTGGCGGCGCTCTGCGCATGCGCCGCGTCTGCCGCTACCGCCAGGACCGCCAAAGGAACGCTGGGAAATGTAGTTCTGGCTCTCTGTGGCCGAGAAACTGCTGCTCTTCTTTTTGGACGCCTCTATACCTCTCACTTCCTCTCTTTGTTGAAGCGAGAAAGAACGGAAAATGAATGCAAAGTGGAAAAAGGTGGTCGGGTCAGCTGAGTAGTAGAGCCTTAATCTGTAACTACAAGAGGAAGTTTGTTCTAGAGAACATTTTGTTAAAAAGTACTGACATGCACGTTATGCCCTCGATCCTGCAAGGGTAATACTTTTATTCCTGAGATTCCTTGTTTCCAAAAGGATAGGAGAACAGTGGTGATCAAGGGAAGAGTATTTCATCCAGGAATGGACTTCTGGGGTCTATATTCTTTCCTTTTTTTCTAAGGCAGACATTTGGAATCAGGAGCCCTAAATTCTTGATCTGGTTCTGCCTCTCATGTACACACCTTACAGAACTTGGAGCCCTTCTCTCTTTGCCTGGGCCCAACTGTCAAACCTTATCTTGCTTCATAGGGCCTGTCAAAAGATATTGGACAACACACATGGCCTGAGCAACGATAGAAGAGGCCTCCAGCCCTAAATGTGTGAGAGCATTGTGTTGGGCCTGTGACTCGGTGGCCTTAGGACTCTGTCTTCCTCCTCCCACTATTCAGAATGATTACTATTGGCTGCTTAGAGATGGAGCAGATAGAGTCTCAAAGTAACCTAGGACTTCTTCATTTTGAACTTCTAGCCTCCAGAATCTTGACAGAATCCATTTCTTTGGTTTCAAGTCATCCATTCCTTCCATACAGTGTCCCTGGGAAACCAATACGATCTCCCAAGTGTATGTGAACACACTGTGTCCAGCCTCTAGCTCTCCCCAGAGACCCAGGCCCCCATGACCATTTGCCTGTGTTAGTTCTCTGCTGGCTGTTCATTCACCTGATAGCAGCAAAGCACAGGTACTGAAAATGTGAAACCTGAGGCCAGGTGCCTGATTCCCAGTCTTGGCTCTTCCACTTACTTTGTTATCTTAGGAGATTTATTCAGTTTCCCTGGCCCTTACTTACTTCATTTTAATCACAGGAACATTACTACTTATTCATAGAGCTCTGGAAGATTAAGTGAGTTATCAGATGTAAACTATTGCTGGGCACCAGTGGCTCACACTTGTAAACCCTAGCTACTCAAGAGGCTGAGAATTGAGGATTGAGGTTCAAAGCCAGCCTAGGCAGAAAAGTCCATGAGACTCGTCTCCAATTAACCACCAAAAAGCCCAGGCCCTGAGTTCAAGCCCCAGGACCAACACACACACACACACACACACACACACACACACACACACACACACTGCTTAGGCTCCATCTGACATATGAGAGTAGTGAATTAGTATTAGTGGTTATTGTAAGATTCAAAGATAAAAGAAACCATCTTCCTACTCAATTCTGTTCCACTGAAGTTCCTTTCATTGAACTGAACTCCATTCTCCCTTTTGCTCTAGATCAAACTCAGAATCATCTCAATTCCTCCCTGTCTTCCACACATACAAATCAGCTAATCCTGTTGACTGTACTTTAAAATTGTATTCAGACTGTAAGCACTTTTTACCATCTCTGTCACCACCATTGTGATAAACTGCTAGCATTTCCCATTCATTGTTTTCCATAGACTCCAAGCTGAGGCTTGAACTCTGGGCCTGAGCACTGCCCCTGAGCTCTTCAGCTCAAAGCTAGTGCACTACCACTTTGAGCCACAGCACCACTTCTGGTTTTCTGATGGTTAATTAGAGATAAGAGTCTCACAGACTTTCATGCCCAGACTGGCTTTAAACCGTGATCCTCAGATCTCAGTCTCCTGAGTAGCTAGGAGTGAGCCACCAGCACCCAGCAGGGTCTACTTCTAACCTTGCTGTCCTAGTCACTTTCCCCTTTCACAGGGAGCCTGTGAAAATCAGATCATATCATTCCTCAAGCTCCTCTAAATTGCAAATTCCCAATATCCTATAGGGACTCTCCTCTAGTCCCCACTTCTCCTGGCACTCTTAATACCACCCACTCTTCCAGCTCTAAAATGCTGAACACACTCCAGGCCCCTGTGCCTTGAATGCTCTCCTTCTAGACATCATGTGATTCAGTCCTTTCTCACCTCCCTTGGGTCCATCTCTAAATGTCAACTTATCTTTGATGTCTCCTCCCCACACCCTACTAAAGCAAAGAGTTCCATTGCTTTTTTCCCTTTTCTGCTTTATTTCCTCCCTAGCACATACCACCTTCTAATCAAGTCATTTATTTTCAGTCTCCCTCCACTAGAATGGAACTGCATGAAGGTAGGGTTCTTATGTGGTTTGTTCTCTGCTGTAACCCAGTGCCTCTGACAGCCTCTGGTCATTACTAGTTGTTCAAATAACTGCAGATTGAATAAGCACAATGTTTTCACATAGTGGTAAGAAAATAAAACAAGTACCTCTTAAGAAGAGATAGAACAAGTATGGATGAGGGGATTTATCTGACAATGATCAAGGAAAGACTCATGCAGAGAGAGAGAGAAGGAAAGAGGTTTTCATGAAACTAGTTACTCTGTGTGTGTGTGTGTGTGTGTGTGTGTGTGCGCGCGCGCACACGCGTGTGAGAGAGAGAACCTAGACTTGAACTCAGGGCCTCAGTGACTTGCACTCTTGATTGGTCTTTTTTGCTCAAGGCTTGCACTCTACCATTCAAACCATATCTTCCACTTCTAGTTTGTTTTTTAATATCACAGAGACATAACAAGGTCTAAGTTCTTTAATTCACATAAAGGTGCTGGAATTAGAGCCAGGCATAGTAAGTCCTTGTGGGGGTCTCCTTTGCTAGTTCTCCCAACCACTAGATGTCAGAGGGCCCAAAGAACTCTGCATTTTGTCCTCACCTCCTCTCTACTCCCATGCCCTTCCCTGGTAGCCTGCCATGCCTGTGATTTTAAATATAGCATATGCATCCATGAGTCCAAAATGTATATGTCCATATTGGAACCTTCTTCCAATTCCTGTTAGATGTCTAGTATGTATATAAAGCTAAGCAAGACCTCCTTGATCTCTCCCTCCAAAACCTGTGCCTCCTACCATCTCTCTCATAGCTCAACAACTGGCAATATCTTCTTTCTAATGGCTCTGGCTAAAAGTCTTGGAGTCATCTGTGACTCCTCTCTGTCCCTCATCTCCGTATGTCTCCTTGATCAACAGATCCAGTCAGTCACATCTTCAACACATACCTACAATCTACCCACTTCTTACCACCTGTGTCTACCAGCCTGGTGCAAGCCACCATCCTCTCCTGCTTGGATTATTGCAATAGCTTTCCTGCTTCCTTTACAGACAATACTCCAAGATACTTGGTTAATATTTTAACTCTGTTCCATTCACTTCCAGTCAAAGTTAAAGTCTCAAGAGAATAAAATAAGCCGGGCGCCGGTGGCTCACGCCTGTAATCCTAGCTACTCAGGAGGCTGAGATCTGAGAATCTCGGTTCAAAGCCAGCCCGGGCAGGAAAGACCGTGAGACTCCTATCTCCAATAAACCACTAGAAAACCGGAAGTGGCGCTGTAGCTCAAGTGGTAGACGCTTGCCTTGAGCTGAAGAGCTGAGGGACAGCGCCCAGGCCTAGAATTCAAGCCTCATGACTGACAAAAAAAAAAAAAAAGAGAGAGAATAAAATAAACTGTGGGGCCACAAGAAAACTACTCCCTCTCTGCCCCCTTACCCTCTTACCACTTGACTGGCCTGACCTCTTCCTCTAAGGCTCTTCCCTCCAGCCTCCCTCCTTCACCTGCTGCAGACTTGTATACAAATATTACCTTCAATAAGTCTTCAGGTCCTCCTGTTTAAAATAGCAATCCTCGCTTTAATTTGCACCTTGCCTTTCTTTTTCTCTTTAGTATGCATCCCTATCTCACATACTATTTACGTATTTTTCTTTGAATCTGTCTCCCCATAGAATGTAGACTCTAGTGTGGGCCTGGGTCTGTCTTGTTCAGCTTTGTTTCCAGAGACCTGGTACATGGAATTTCTCCAAACAATATTTTCCGAATAGTCAGTGACCTTAGATTTTGCACAAATGTTAGCTATTAGAGTTCTTTCAAGGCACACTGTCCTTTGCCTTACCCTTTGGGGGGGAGGGGGGAGGGAATATCCTTGAGGACTAGATGTTTAAATACAAGCGGGTGGGGGTGGGGGGGTGGGAAGAGTTGGGGGGAGGGGCAGGGAGGGAGGGAGGAGAGAGAATTGAATTGAAAGTTAGGACCTGCATTTAAAAGAGTGTGAAACGCACAGCTACACCATTCACAGGTCTACCATGACATCTGTCGTTCTTTGCCAACTTTCAGTTGGTGGCTTGAGGTCGCGAGCCAGGCTTAGGTCCTACCTCCGACGTTCTCGCCAGTGGGCGCGGGGCGGCCGGGCCCGTGCGGGGCACCGCCGGGGGAGGGGCGGAGGCGGGGATGGGTGTCCCCGCCCTCGGGGCGGCCCTGGTGGCGGGGTCGGGAACGCGCCCTGGCTTTGCGCTGCGGGCCCTGCGCGCTCTCCATGGCGGGCCCCGCGCCGGGGTGGCCGCTGTGGCCGCTGGCTGCGCTGGGCCTGGTTGTGGCGCTGACAGCCGGGGCCGGGCCGGAGCCGCATCCGGCCGAGCGGGGACCCCCGGTGCGGCTCTTCACCGAGGAGGAGCTGGCTCGCTACGGCGGGGAGGAGGTAGGCGGGCGCGGCGCGGGCCTGGGGCCGGGGATCGCGACGTGGGACCCCGGGAAGCGTCCGAGCTGGCCCGGGTCGGGGGCCGGGGCCTCGTGCCCCGCGGAACCCCGGCTCGGCGCCGGCCCGGGCCGTCTGGGCTAGGCCTTCTTTGCAGGCCAAGGCCAGTGCCAGGCGTGCAGGCCGGTACCCGCCTTGCCTACAATCCCCACGCCCCGCTTCTTTTTCCTGGTGATCTGAAAAGTTCCGAAAACTCAGAACTTTAACAACAACAACCACACACACACACACACACACACACACACACACACACACACACACACACACACACCTGAAAAGTTCCGAAAACTCAGAACTTTAACAACAACAACCACACACACACACACACACACACACACACACACACACACACACACACACACACACACACCCATGATCCTCCCTTCCATGATGTCCCAGCACTGTGCCAAGTGTCCTAAAAACCCACCTGGATGGAAGTTAGCCCCCCCCCCCCCACACACACACACACACACACACACCCACCCATGATCCTCCCTTCCATGATGTCCCAGCACTGTGCCAAGTGTCCTAAAAACCCACCTGGATGGAAGTTAGTAAACCCATATCATCTGTTTTGTGATGGTGGTGGTGTTTCTAAAGTAACATTGCATACCCACTACTATAGCAGAAATGAAGCATAACTGCTAGTCAAACTGTGGGCACACAGCAGGAACTTGCATTTTTCTGGCCCTGGACAGAATTTAATGTTTTTGGAAGGTTTTTAATATGATTAAGTTATTTATATACTTCGGCCCAGAAATTCCATGTATTGGAATAGACCTCAGGGAAACATTTCATCCAAAACAATTTTTTTAGGAGGTATAATTCTACCATTTATAGTTCCAAAGAGAGGAAGCACCCAAATATTCAACATAGAAGACCAGCTACACAGCAGATGTACTGTATCACTATTAAGATGGGTCCTATGTAGCTATTTGAGAGACAGCCATCTTTCCAATATGTGGAAACATTAGGTGAAAAAAATGTTACCTATAATATCAACATGTAAAAGAGGGGCTGGGGAGGTGGCTCAGTGGTAGAGCGCTTGCCTCGCATGCATGAGGCCCTGGGTTCGATTCCTCAGCACCACATAAGCAGAAAAAGCTGGAAGTGGCACTGTGGCTCAAGTGGTAGAGCACTAGCCTTGAGCTAAAGAGCTGAGGGACAGTGCCTAGGCCCAGAGCTCAGGCCCCACGACCAAAAAACAAAACAAAACAAAAAAAACAAAAACATGTAAAAGAGAACACTTACCTTGCCTTCATAGTATATATCTCCATTGATGATGAGGAAATCTGGACTGATTTGAATCATTATTTAATGTACTTCTGAAGTTTTATCTACATAAAGTGGTTTCAGCTCTTGGTTGATTTAAAAGTAAAGGGTTGCCCAGTGTTTTCATGCCTGCAATTCTAGCTACTCAGGAGGCTGAGATCTGAGGATTGCAGTTCAAAGCCAGCCCAGGCATGAAAGTGCATAAGACTCCTATCTCCATTAATCAGAGAGCCAGAAATGTAGTTGTGGCTCAAAGTGCCTCAGGCAAGAAAGCTCAGGGACAGTGCCCAGGCCCTGGGTTTAAGTCCCAGCACCAGCAATCAGTCAATCAATATAAATGATTGCTGTATTCATGTTATGACATTTCATGAGGTTTTAAGCTTCCATCAGTGGGCGTGGCAAGCTGAGGAGAACCAGGCCTTGAACCTCCTGTGTTTGCACAGCCCATGATGGAAAGGAAAGGAAAGGTATTACTAACTCAGACTGGGTGAGTGTGCCCTTCAACTCCTCTTCACCGTTTCTCTCCTGCTTTTTAGGAAGATCAGCCCATCTACTTGGCAGTAAAGGGAGTGGTGTTTGATGTCACTTCTGGAAGAGGTAAGTAGCTTGGCATTTTGAATCTTCATTGCTGCCAAACTCTGAAGCCAGAAAAGGTCCCTTTTCTTCCTTTTTTTTTTTTTTTTTTTTTTTTGCCAGTCCTGGGACTTGAACTCAGGGCCTGGACACTGTCCCTGAGCTTCTTTTGCTCAAGGCTACCACTCTCCCACTTGAGCCATTACTTTTGCATTACTTGAGCATTACTTTTGGCTTTTTCTGTTTATGTGGTACTGAGGAATTGAACCTAGGGCTTCATGCATGCAAGGCAAGCAATCACTAAGCCACAGTCCCAGCCCCCTTTTCTTCCATTTTAAATGACAAGATTAGCTTCATTTTTGTCAATGTTTTATTTCAACAGAATATTTTTTTTTCCTATTAATGCTAAGCTGGCTTCTACTCAAAAGCCTTCCATGGCTTTAAAGCTCAGCTTGAACTTGATGATTCCTCTAGTTGAGCAATGAAACAGTATTCCTTAGCAATTAGCTGACATCATAGAGCATTATAGAATATTTTAATGACATTAAATAATTTCTCTGATTTAACTACATATGATATTTACCTGTAGGTTTTTTGTGTTTTGTCTAGTAGTGGGGCTTGAACTCTGGGTCTGGGCGCTGTCCCTGAGCTCCTTTCTCAAGGCTAACGCTCTACCACTTTGAGCCATAGTGCCACTTCCAGTTTTCTGGTGGTTGATTGGAGGTAAGAGTCTCACTGGCTTTCGTGCCTGGGCTGGCTTTGAACTGCAATCCTCAGATCTCAGCCTCCTGAGTAGCTAGGAGTTAAAGGCATGAGCCACTAACTCCTGAACTTATGCAGGTAGTATTGAATGGATCACCTTTTGTTTGGTTCACAAACACTGTTGTGTGAAAATAGACTTGGTTTTCATCAGTATTTAGCCAGACATATTTTTTGTTTGCATTTAATTTTTAAAGGGACTGTTTTTGTTCTCTTCTTTCTAAAATCTATATTTCAGCCTGCATGTGACTTATTCTCTATTTGAATTCGAGGATGTTAAGCTGGTGACTGGGCAATATCTTCATTATGTTGTGCGTGCATGTGCGTGCGTGTGCGTGTGCGTGTGTGTGTGTGTGTTCAGGCTTGGAGTTTCTCTTGGGATTGGGGGGGTCTGGGGTCATGTACACACTCTGTGTGCACACTCTTCCTTCTTCCCTACTGCAGAGTTTTATGGACGAGGAGCCCCCTACAATGCCTTGACTGGGAAGGACTCCACCAGAGGGGTGGCCAAAATGTCTCTGGATCCTTCAGACCTCACCCATGATACCGTGAGCCAGATTATGACCTTTGGTCAAAATGCCCCATGCCCTCAGCTGTGGCCTTTTGTTTCTTGGTTTGTTTTTTAACTTCTAAGCAATAACAAAGCTTCCTAATTAACTTGCATGCCCCCCAGTCCAATAGATTGTCCTGTTTTAGGCCTACTCAGAAACGTTCCACGGCGAGTCAAACCCAACCTCCTGTGAACTTGTGATCCAACTCTGTGGTCTTCACTTTGGTCCTCAGCCTTTTATGGTCTACCCGCACCACTCCCCAGGCCACTCTTGGTCGCTCAGTGGACTAATGGGGGAGATGGAGGATCTCCCGCTATGCTCATATTGATATGAAGAAAATATTGCATAAAAAGTAATCTCCATAACAAGCCTGGCATTCCCCCAATGTGTGCTCTTCATCACATTGACAGTGGGATAAACGCTTAAGTCACAAGATTATAGAAATAAGAAATGAAGAAAATAATGAAGTACCTGAGATAATTAGCTGATAGAGCAGAAAGGTTTATTTTCACTTACTATTTTGGAGGTTTCATGATCAATGATGACAATGATGGGTGTATTTGGCTGAGAAAAACTGTTTACATCATGATCAGGAAGCAAAAGAAAAGAGGGCTCTAGTGTACCCCAGTTGTCTTTGAATGTATGACCCTAATGACCATCTCTAAGGACCTTCTGCTCAGCTCTACCTCTTAAACATGCCACCAACTCCCAATAGTGCTACACTGGAGATCTCTAGTCACTTTTAACACGTGAGCCTTTAGAAAAGGGGCATTCTAAGCTGGGTGCTGGTAGCTCACACCTGTAATCCTAACTACATAGGAGTTTGGGAGCTGAGGATCAAGGTTCAAGGGCAATCTAGGCAGGAAAGTCCATGAGACTCATCTCTCCAATTAACCACTGAAAAGCTAGAGGGGGAGCTATGGCTCAAGTGGTAGAGCTCCAGCCTTGAGCACGAAAGCTCAGGGATAGCACCTAGGCCCTGAGTTCAAGCCCCCAGTATTGGCACAAGAAATTTCAAAAAGGACATTCTAGATCTAAAGCCTATCAGGAAGCATACGTAAATATGCAGTAGGAGTCAGAGGGTGGCAAGAATCAAGCAGGAAGAGACAGGTGCAGATAGCAGAGGGCACCCAAACCACCCCAGGATGGTTGCTCTCCATGGAGACTTCAGTTTCTGCACCAGTCAGGCAGGAAACAAATGAAACCATTGCTCTCCCCATGTCATCCCCACTAGCGCACACAGGGTTCTCTCTTTAGAAGTGTGCTGTCCATGATTTGCCTTATTAGGATAACCTTTTTCTTTGCTTGCATTCAGAGTGTGGAGACGGTAAGGCAGGGATGGAGAAAGGCCAGTGCCAACCATATTCATTCATCTTCACCCCTTGTTTCTTGGGCCTTTCTTCCCCAGACGGGGCTCTCGGCCAAGGAGCTGGAATCCTTGGATGACGTCTTTACCAATGTATACAAAGCCAAATACCCCATCGTCGGCTACACCGCCCGGAGGATTCTCAATGAGGATGGCAGCCCCAACCTGGACTTCAAGCCTGAGGACCAGCCCCATTTTGACATAAAGGATGAGTTCTGATGGTCTGTCTGCAATCAATGGGAGACTCGTGAAAGGGCGAGACAGGGGCACAGACAATAAATCTCCTGCCAAATATGCTTTTAAAAGCCTCTCAGTCACCCAGATGTGAATAAAGCAGACATTAAAGCTAGAAGAGTGACTGCTTTTCATTTTGCTGGGTCCAGTGTGTTGGCTGCCAGCGTGTCTCTGCCCACACAGCAAACAGGGTGGTCCCAGTAGCCTCTGTGGGAAGCGTCCTGCATATCACCATTGCCAGCTAGGGAATGATCTTTATTTCTTTATGCTTTTCACTGCTTGCCAGATTTTCTGCCCTGATCACGTTTACTTTATAATAAAAGACAAAAACAAACTTCCTATTGTTACAAAGGGAGAATTTGTCCGTATGTGCCACTCCCTGGGGACTGATGACACCTCTTGTAGGTAAGTAGGTTTGTGCTTCCTGTCTCCCTGCCGGTGAAGAGGCAGGGCTGGCTGGAATGGCGTGGGACCAGCTGTAAGGGTGGATGATGGGAAAGGAGCTGAGTGAGAGCCTAGAAGTGGCTGCAGCCCATGGGCAGCTAGAAGCAGTAAGGAGCATGAGGTCCAGCATGGCAGAGCCCCGCCCAGTCATTCCAAGGATGGCAACACAACTGTATGCCAGACTGAAGTCAGAGTCTAGAAGGAAAGCCCTCTTGGCAGAGGAAGGGGGCATTTTTTCTTCTAGGCAATATCTAGTGACATTTTTAGTTTTTGGTGCTCCAAGCTGTGTGGTGCTACTACCTACACTCAGAGGCCAGAGTGCTAAATATCCCATCATGCATGTGGTTCCTAAAGGAAGGGGCACCATTGGCACAGATTCCCTAAAGATCCAAAGCCTGCTGTCTGTGTACCCTGACTCCCACATTTGCTTAGGTTTCTTTTGCTGTCAAGTCTCATATCCTTTGGTTGTTGTTGTTGGTCATATGGCTTGAACTCAGGGCCTGGGCATGATCCCTGAGCTCTTTTGCTCAAGGCTAGTTCTCTACCACTTTGAGCCACAGCTCCACTTCTGGTTTTCTGATGGTTCATTGGAGAGTCTCACAGAGCTTTTCTTGTCCCGGCTGGCTTTGAACCATGATCCTCAGATCTTAGCCTCCTGAGTAGCTAGGATTACAGGCGTGAGCCACCAGTGCCCAGCTATATTCTCCTTTTAATACCCAGCCTAGGTGCACTTCTGCCAGTATACCTCTGTTTTTGAATTCCCTATAGCCTTTGTATGCCTGCCTAGCTATAAATGCCAAACAATTATTTTTATAAAGATGATGTACAGAGGGATTACAGTCAGGTAAAAAGTACATTACTTTTTGGACCCTGTCACCCCTTCCTTCCAAATAGGAAGGGTTTTTTTTGTTTTGTTTGTCCGTCGTGGGTCCTGAACTCTGGGCCTGGGCACCATTCCTCAGTTCTTCAGCTCAAGACTAGCGCTCTACCACTTGAGCCACAGCACCACTTCCAGCTTTTTCTGTTTATATGGTGTTGAGGAATCGAACCCAGGGCCTCATGCATGCGAGGCAAGCGCTCTACCACTGAGCCACCTTCCCAGCCCCAAGCAGGCATGTCTTATGGGCCCAAATATTGACACTAAAGGCAACCAAACTTCCCAGGTGGCCAGGGACTTGGCTAGTGTTGGGACTAAAACCCTGCATTCCAAAAAGCCCATTGGCCCTGAACCCACCTGAAGGATTGAGCCCCAGCAGCAGCTGAATCCAAGCACCCTCCCAGTGGAAGGGCTGCTGGCGTGGTAGGCACCTAAGCCTGGGATGAAGGAAGGAGCTGTGATTATTTATACAGGAGAGAGAAGGAGAGAGGGAGGACTATGGGAGAGCGGAGAGAACTGGTTCTTTACTAGTCTCTATATAAGTTCAGCTTCAGAGTCTAAGGGGAAGCTTAGTGGCTGGTCTACAATAGTGCGTTGCCGTGTTGTTGATAGTGGTGTAACTCCTGCCCCAAATCGAATCCCCCTAACACTCTCCTGAGTGACAGCCTCCCTAGATATGCCCTTTCTTAGGGAAAGCATGTTTCTCTGCACCCCGGAATTCCAGTCAGTTCCCACCCTTCTTTGTGCTCTGCATCGGGGCTGCAGCACAGAACCTAACCCTGAGCAGGTGACTGGAGCTAGATCCCTTGTCCTGACAGGAATAAAAGGAGAAAGCAAGGCCCTGGGGCCTGGCAGCCTTGAAAAACCTTTTAAACAAGCCAGTAACTATTGAATGTCCCACTGAGGTGATCAATGCAGCTGACTGGCCCGCAAAAGAGTGGAATAAGGGATCTGATCACCAATCCAGGTCCCTAAAAGCAGGAATTACTCAGAGCTCACTGGGCCCAGACTAATCCTTCACCTCTCACCTTTATGTCCCTTCTCCGGGGTTTTTCTCAACCCCTCCACTGCTTCCAGGAGGAAAGCTAAGAGTCTGAATAACTCAAGGCCTACCCTCTGCATTGACTTCCTGTGGAGGCTTTTAAAACTCAGTCACAAAATGCCTACCCTGCTGGCTTAGTCTCCTAAGAGGTCAAAGCTAGAAATCCATGCCCAGAGCCCATATCCCCTGCAAGGTAGTGGGTGTCCTGGTTGCAGGTTGTGATGATCAGAACAGGGAATATAGCAGGCCTCTCTGATGGATGGTGGCTTTTAGTGTACAGGCTCACACAGGCCTGGAAGCCCACAGCTTTACTGCAGAGACCACTGCAGACTGCCCAACATGAGTGCAGAAAGTGACTAACCAAGTCCAGGTTGGCCCAGCTGGCTCTGTCCAGGACCTCAAATGCAATTCTCCCCTGGAGCAGTATTTAATACCATGTTGTGTCAGTCATCTTTTATGCTCCATTTCACAGCCTGAGAGCCCAGTCAATTTCTCAGTGCCTGATTCTGCTTTCTTCCTGGCCTCTTCAGCCAAGCAGAACTGCTCAAACCATTCTGAAGTATTTGCAAACTGACAGACACAAGGAGTTAGCCTCCTTCGGGGCGATCCTCGACTAATGGGACCTGAAAAGACAAATCCTTCTCATATTCCAAGAGACCTTCTTAGAGAGGCTTAGGTGATATTGAGCCTTGTGTTCATCAGCTTTCTGTCCCTAGGATAAAATACCTGAGATGATCAACTTGAAAGGATGAAAGATTTGTTTTGGTTCATGGTTTCACACATCTCCAACCCTGACTGGTTGGCTTTGTTACCTTTGAGCTTGTGGTGAAGCAGAGCATCATGGTAGGAAGTTTGTGGTAGAGCAAAGATGTTTATTTCAAGATAGAGAGACAGGAAGGATTTGGGGTCTGATGAGCACACTCCCAATGACCTAACTTCCTTCCACTAGGTCCCACCTCTTAAAGGCTCCGCCACTTCTCAGTAGGACCACCCTGGAGACCAAGCCTCTAACACGTGGGCTTTGAGGGGACATTCTAGATCTGAACTACAGCAAGCTCAATTACTCACATGGTATCAGCTAGATGACGTGGCCTGGGATTGGCTGGTTATCCTGCCTGTTTTCATGTTTCTCAGTCCTGGTGTCATGGATCAGGTCACAAGGAAGTTACCTGCACTCAAGCCCCCGTCCTACTTTCTGCTCTTAAGGACAACCCAGGTTAAAACACAAGTCTATTTCCTCAGATACCCACATGATCCCACCGTGCCAAATTCAAGTTACTAATAACATTTTTACCTGTGTGTAGCATGTCACAGACTTCTAATTCCAGTTATACTATGTAACTAATTGCTTCCAGTGGTTAGCAGTGTGCATTCATTGCACTCAGAGATTCTGTGCCCCAGTAACTCAGAGGGTGCAGTGGGGATGACATGAGTGTCCCTGATGTCTGGGGCCTCAGCTGGAATGAGAAGCCTCCCTCTCTTGCTGGCAGGTGATGCTGGCTGCTGGCTGGGAGCCCTATTTCTCTCCAGGAGCAACTTCTTGCATCAGGGTGGCTGAGCAGCACAGGAACCTAAAGTCCTATTCAGGAGTAAGGGATATGGAGCCACTTTGGGAAAATATATGATCCTCTCCTTCATTATCTCACAAGAGACTGTACCTTGTCATTTTCAAGTCTGCAGTGTTCAGGCTGGTTGCTGGCTTGTAGTTGGTGTGCAAATGGTAATTACATTGTCTTGGGCTCAGAGACAGGTTTTAGATTCAGACTGACCTGTGAGAGCAAACTTACCCATTCCATTGGGCTGGTGCCAGGATTAGGTGCAACCTGTGCTGAAGAGATTCGTGATTCTGGGCAGGTGCTCAATTCCTTCCCACTTTGCTCCATTCCAGCCCTATATTCTGGGTGGATAGGCATCTCAGGCTTCCTGTTGGCCCTCCCTGGCCCCTAGCATGGCACAAGCCATAGTTCTTGCCGACCTCCCTCTGTCTCCTGAGGCCCTGCTTATGCTTCCACTGGGCAGCTCCCCTCGAGGGTGATTTGGGGATGTGGGGTTTCTGTAGGCTGAGGTGCAGTGAGTTCTGGGAATATGGAAGGGAGGAAGCATAGGTTATGAGGAGGGTGGGGAGACATAGCTCAAGGGTTAAGCAGAGTAGTTGCGACTATAAAGGAATAGGCTGGCAGCGGGCACTGGTGGCTCACGCCTGTCATCCTAACTTCTCAGGAGGCTGAGATCTGAGGATCGCGGTTCAAAGCCAGCCCAGGCAGGAATGTCCGTGAGACTCTTATGTCCAATTAACCAGAAGTGGCGCTGGGGCTCAAGTGGTAGAGCGCTTGGTCTGGAGCTGAAGTGCTCAGGGACAGTGCCCAGGCCCAGAGTTCAAGCCCCACAACTGACAAAAAAATAAAATAAAAAGGAAGAGGTTTGGGATATAGAGCAAGCTGGGTGTGCAGTTCCCAGGCACCCTCTTGCCTGGACACCTCAGGCAGGCCTGACCTGCGCGCCCTAGCCCAGCTCTCCTGATGAGTGGAAGGCATCCTTCTGCAGCCTCAGGCTCTTCAGCTTCCCAGACGCCCTTTGGGTTCTTCCAGAGGACAGTGGGAAAACCTGTCCCTCTTCTCTCCCCAGGAATGGTGTGGGCTGCAGTCTTGCTGCCTGAGGCCTAATAGCAGCTGGGGTTGGGGCCAGCGGCCCCAGGTGGGGGGGGTGGCAGCTTCTCTCAGGCTCTCCTGCTGGTCTGCTCTCTACCCTGTTCTCA